GGGCCAAGAAGCAATGGCCCACCTTGCAGGAAACTTGGCAGCTCCGTCCCGAACCTCGCGGGGAGGGCTTTTTTTACCTCCCCAACATTTGTTTTACGTTTGCGGGAGAGATAGAACAACATTGAGGGTCTCCCCCCCGGCCCCCCCCCCCCCCCCCCCAACCCAACCCAACCCCCGCTCTCTCAAGATTCTGACCGTCTGGATAAATAGAGGAAAAAGCTGGATTGGGGAAAAACCTATATAAGGGCCCGCTCTGCCTCCTCGGATAGAGAGTCAGTCTCCAGAGGCATATTTTGAAAACTTCCGACTACTTCTGGAAGTATCTACAAGCGAAATACACTCCTCATATAGTTGTACATATCGTTCGTTCATTTGAAGGCAAATCTGACATCAAAACTTTCCCACGCGAGTTTTATCCACCGGTTATTTTTGCCGTCTTTACTTCTACCCCTTTTTCCACCCCTTTTACCTACCTTCCCATCTTTTCTATATCACCGCCTTTTTGAAGCCTCTGTTTTGCCAGTTCACTCGAAGAACAACAACCCACATCTTGTTTTCGAATCCTCGTTTTACAATACGTCGCTCTCAACATGTATTTCCACACTGCAACGCAGAAATTCCTCATCCTCGTACCTCAGGAAAAACCAGCCTCCAAACTCCCAGCAGCGGATGCAGCATCGGATGCAGCACCACTGCTCATCAGTTCTCCTCAGTCTTCGCCCGATGACACAGAATCCCCGGCCAACCCTTTGCCGCAGAAGACAACCCGTTCTCCCAGTACCAGCTCGACTTCATCGACTGATAGCAAAAAAAGCGGCTTTTTGCGGTTGGGGGTTTAAATAGATTCGCTTTTCCTAGAGTCATTGAAGGCGAAGATATCCCTATTTCTTGTAGTTTGTTTACTCTTCCTTTTTAACGCCGCATCTACCCTTTCCAGACATGCCATTCCGGACAAGTGGGATAATTAGTTCCTAGCCGCAGAAGGGCATTCTGTAATTATTTTGCCTTTCCGTTCTCCCGCTCTCCCGTTTTCCCGTTTTCTCGTTTTACCTTTTTACCTTTTTCCCCTTTTAAAACTCTTTCGGTTTCTTTTAAGTTGGCGACGTGAAGCCTGGCGCGATATCCGTTTGACAGTGGGACCACCTTATGATTCGATCGTCAGATAACTCTAAAAATAAACTCGTGAAGTTAAAGAAGATTGCATTCATTTTGCTCACTCAATCCATTTCCTCTTGTAAATCTCAACTTCCAATATTGAGACTGAAAGTGGAGAGCCAAATGGCTCTCCATTCCCTGTATGAAAGCCCAAATACGGAGCAGTAGGTGGGCCCATTGTTAAACCTCACATTCCTATCACTGGCGCAATTCTGGCTGCAGCAATATCACTCCCACACAACTACGCCAATCAGACTGGGTTGACACAAATAACTACGTGAGATCTACATCTTATATTAGCTTTTTCTATTATTATTGAAGACTTCTGCAACGCTTGTTGATTCGAATGCAGCAACAATGTAGTAGGGTGCTACAAGAGAGAGAGAGAGAGAGAGAGAGAGAGAGAGAGAGAGAGAGAGAGAAAGAGAAATACAGAATAAAGAGAATTAAATCGTTGTTTTCAGTTGACATCGGTCGAATTGCCAAACACTCCCTCACACTTCCAGATGACTGGCTGCTAATGCGTCTGGGAGGCAAGAAGAAGAAGAAGAAGAAGAAGAAAAATTCATAATCCGGCGGCTTACCCTGGGATCAGCTCGTTCAGCCATTTGCCGGCATGTATTCTTCCCACCATTATCCCGCTGTCAACTGCTATTACTACTTTTAAGTTAAAAGCATCTACAGCCCCGCTCCTCTTTTCCTGGGAGGGGGGGGGGGGGGGGGGGGGGGCAAATCTAGATCTCCCTCGTGCGCACAGAGTTCTAGGCTTAGAGGGTTCAAAAAAAAAAAAAAAATTAACTATATAACTACTAATGCAGGAGCCAGAAGAGAAGCCGGCCGGATTTTCCTGCCAACACTTTTGTAGCCTGTTCTGTGCTACTGCATGCAGATATTCCAGACTCAAGACACGGGATTTGCAGACTAGACACGCTAACTACTCCAAGAGCGGTGTTCAATTTTTCATCTTTTACGCTTCTTACAGGTACCACAGAGCGCTGCAGTGGCGCATTGAACGGCATAGATTTCAAGCCCAAGATCATAGCAGGCCGGAGGCCAAAGCATAAACAAAAAAGGTTTGCGGCGGGATTTTACCATATCGAGTGCTCCATCTGATCATAATAACCAGTTAGTGCAACAGATAGCTTAGCTATGTCCATAACGTTTTTTTTTTTTTTTTTTTAACCCACTCCCATCCTGGAAATCATAGCATGGGTAGGAGGGTTTTGTTATCAGTGTATCACAGTGGCAGGGAGAAGATCTTGGCTGCTTCAGTAGCTAGCTGGCTCCGGACGAGTGAATCGATCCTTTTTCATTTTGTTGGAGACGCCGCCCCCTCCAATTGCAGCACAGAGCGTCTCACACAGCACCAACAACACCGCTCTCCTCCCCGGCTGCTTGCCAAGTGAAAGACCTTCTCCATAGTTATTAGCCCCAGTCCTTCCCTCGAGATCTCCGTTCCGCCACCAGGGCATTGCCCAGTACCCAAAACAAGATCCGCAAATTCTTTGATTCTCGAAAGAGCCAAAAAAAAAATAAAATAAAAAAAATAAAAAAAATAAAAAAATAAAAAAATAAAAAGAAGAAAAAACAATAAATAAACATATCGTCCAACTGCGGCATGGGCGCATCACGGATGCAAATGCTGCCCTCGCGCTGCACTGCTTGACATCGGCAACTAGAGCGCGGGCGCCTCCCTCTCTGCAAGAGGGAACAACAGGTTGGGGGGATGGAAGGGAAAACTAACTGCAGGGCGACGGCCCTAGAAGCACTCTTGGCTGTCCAATGTCAGAGGAGAACCCCATTGGCTAGGAAGGCTTATACAACGGTATGTCTCATTCTGCACCACATCGCGGATGGATTGCCTGGAACCGGAAATCCGTTGGTGACAGAAGAGCAGGCAGTCTTGGCGGGGGTTTGATCCATTGGGCTGCTTCCATTGATGTGTTTCCCCGGATGTTGCACATGGTCGCCTCAGTGGGTATTATTGGGCTGGTGAGATGGGCGCAAGAAGGACATTAGGTACCTTTCCTTTCCTTTTTTTTTTTTTTTTTTTTTTCGGAGAATCCCTGGACATCCTTGATTCATGCTCTCTTTGCCTGTGTCTATTGGATGGAACTTTCGAAGCTGGTGTCATGTGATTTGAATGATCGGCTTTGAGCTTGCATTGAAAATCCACGGAACAACCGTGCAAAGTTATATGCGTGAAATCAATTATTTCGTGATGAAGTTGCATGAGAGGGGGGATTGGGGTGGAGAAGGGGTGACCTATCAAACGTAGAAAATAGACATCTAAGAAAACAAAAATCGCAGAGGTAAAATTAACCGGGCACATATATTACTATACGTGTACTCCTCACGCGGAACGAATAAAATGGTATCTCAATTGCTTAGCTGTTGAATACAAGATAAATATGTAAATAAAAACCGATATAATCTTCTCACATCTGCCACCTTGCCTTGCCCTATTTACAGCAGGTGTCCAAAAACCAACAAAAGTCAGATGACCGGGAGTTGATAGTAAATAATGAACAAAAGAAAGGAAGAAGGCTATTCATAGCTTTGCAGCACACATGAGAAGAAGTAGTAGTTATTCGCGGAAAGTGATAATAAATGGCACGAGGAGTTCATTAGTGGCCATGCCGGAGAATATTCCGAGTTGAGTGGTTTGACGACGGAAAGGAAAACCAATAATAATTGGTTTGGATAAAGGGAAGAGACAATAAAAAAGAAAAAGAAAACAAAGAAAAAAAAGAAAAAAGCTTGATTGATTTATCCAGTTAAGTGAAAAATGAAGAATGAAATAAAATAGGAAAGTAATAACATTGACTAACAAAGGAAATAATATAATAAGGAAACAAAAAAAAAAAAAAAAGTAAAAACAAACAAATTGGATATTTATTGACACAATGTAAAAAAGTGAAGAGCAACCGGTTAAGATGATGAAAAGCAGAAAAATGAGAAGGAAAAAACAGAAAACATGCACAACAGAAAATTCAAACCATCAGAGACGGAGTGACAAAGGAATTAAGAAATAATGCAGGGGGAAAACAAGGAGTTAAAGCTTCAAGGGGAATTGGCCTCTTTCGCAAAAATAGTGCAAGAGAGAGAGGAAGAGTTCAAGCAATGCGCTTGAGGACGGGTAGGACCTGGGAATCCATGCCGAAGACATGAATAAATAAAAGGCCAAAACGAGCCCAAGGGAGGGGGGGGTGAATATAATTCATATCAGAGAAAAACAAGAAAAAAAGGGATGTTATTGTGGTGGTACAAAGCAGGGTTGTGTGTTATTATGGACTTCTCTTGCTCCATGAACCAGAATAGACTCGTAAAGGGAATAAAGCAAATAGGAGGATGAAGGGGATGGGAATGGAATATGCGTATGTCTTGGGAAGGGGGAAATGGGGAAGAATATCAACCTCTTTCCTCTCGCCTGATGACCTATCAAACTCTTTTCTTCATACCCCCATCAAACTCAAACCGCCTCTCTTATTGCCCTCCATATCGTTTCATCTTCCTGGTAGCAATTGCCGAGAATCTGCATGGCATGGATGTAAAAATCTTTCTTCAGACCGTCAGACAAGCTGAACAAGCTGGCCTGATCGCTTCACAAGTCCTAACTATAACCATAATATCCTTCGCCCATCCAAGGAAAATCCCAACAAACACCCCTCACCCCCTTCACTGATCACCGGCCCGATACTTCCCCCTCCTCCTGAAAAAGTCCATAACCCTCCTTGCCGCCCCCGAGCTCCCCGAATGATGCTCATGGCTCTTCTCATACTCATCGGCGAACCGCCGATTATTCTTCTGCAGCACACTGTGTCCTCCCCTCCCGCCAGAGCCAGACTGCGACTGTGATGGGAAACCACCCTCCTGGATCGACTGTCCGGAACCATTGTCATAATTTGGAATATACCTATCCGGGTAGCTGGGCATAAACTGCTCTGTGTTACTGGCGTTCGGCGACTCGGGTGATGATAGGAAGTATTGACCTCCTGTCGATGGGCCTGCAGGCGGCTGCGAAGAAGCGGAGTTGAGGTTTTGGTCATTTTGGTAATGGTGGTCAGTGGCTATGTGTTGGGATCCGTACGGGTTACTTTTGTCCTGGGGTTCGGAGCCAGCATGAAGGGCTGCAAACTGCTGGTCGATCTGATTGGAGTAGTTTATCATGTCTAGGTGGTCGTCGGTGTTGCCAAAGGATTGTTCGTCCGGGTGATGGACGGTATGTTCTGGGTTTTCGTGTTGAAATTGTGAAGGAGATTTGGCGGTTGATAGGTGCCTCTGTTGCTGCTTTTGACCTCCACTCTCCGGTGAGCGAAGAAAGTCATTGATCTGCGCCATAGAAGTCTCGGTAGTAGGAGACGTCTCCTTGCTAGAAGAGGAAAATCCCTTCACGGAGAACGAAACAGGCAGGAGTGAGAATCTCCGTGGCCTAGCCATACTCTCCCTCGTAGGATCAGACTGTTTGCGGTGGAAGGGATACGAAATCGACCGACGCGAATCTATGGATGCTCGCGGCTCATCCGAGACGGTCGGTTCCTTCATGCTTGTTGGTGGGCAGCGTTTAGTTGGCTTTTGCTCCTGGTTAGATGAAGATGATCGACCACCAAATATCGATCCAGACCTGCCGAATAATTTCTCCCCAATGCTATTAACAGTACTGGATCGCTTGTGGCCCTTGGCTGTGCCCTCCTGTTGTTGCCCAGCGGCATAATCCTGGTTTGTGACTTGTTGAACAAGGGAATTTTCTGTGGGATGTTGAGTCATGGGAGGAGTCATGGTGTAAGTTTTACCAAGTTTAGGCTGCGCGAGACGGCCTTGGACATTTGTTGTTGCGACTGCAGGGGCTGCAGGTTGACTATAAGAACCTCTGGACGGCAGACGGCTATCATATCTACCGGTAACTGTAGAAGCCATGGACCCGCCAGTGCGAGGCCTGTTCGTTTGCGACAACGCACCTTGAAGACCAGAATATGCACCAGTTAGGTCCGAGACCGATTGCGCTAGATTTCCAGACTGTGATTGAGGCATACCTTGTTGAAGTCGTTCTGTTGTGTTTTGGTTTGTAGTCGCGGGATTGGTTGGAGGATTCTTCGGTAATGGATTAGATCGTGGAGAGGTAGCAGCAACACCCCCTGAACTTGAACCAGGAGGCTCTCTACTAGATTCTGGTCGCGTGTGGGACGAAACTGGAGGCGCCGAAGCTGTTACCATAAACGAGGACGCAACAGTTGAGTCTCCACGAGCTGTCTGAGACTGAGGTGCCACGTATTCGACTTGCACCGTTCTCCTCTTTGCATCTCTGTGTTGTTTTGCCTTTTCATCATCCAGCGAGATTTTGGCCCCCTGATGGCTAAAGCCTCCCATCGGAGGAACGTTGCTATGATGGTGGCTTTTAGGTTCTCTTACAGATGCGCTGCGGGCAAGCGATGGAGTTTCTTGTTGGTCTTCTATTAGAAGAACATTTTAGTGATAAAACATTTCGAAAGTGACGACTAAGAGCACTGAGAGTCTCTTTTGTTTTGCTTGATCTGAAAATTAAGAACTCACCAGCAGGAACAGTGGTATTGGCAATATCAGCCACATTTGTAGTATTACTCGTAATATGAGATATAATATGTGCATATTCCGAAAGCCAGCTATGCCGTGCGACTTCGAAGAGATCGGCCCGTTTTCGAGGATCCGGCACGAGGATGCGACGTAATAAATCTCGCGCATGAGGTGTGACGTATTCGGGAAAAGTGAGTGGTGTAGTGACGATGTATTTGTAGAGCAGATTAATGTTATCACCCTCTGGGTTTGCAGGATCATCATCAAATGGAAGATAACCGGCAAGCATAGCATACTGAAACACACAATGTTAGCACAGGCCAAACAAAGTGAAAGTTATGTAAGGATATTCAATCGCACCAGTATAACCCCACAGCTCCAGACATCAACTTTACGCCCAGTGTACAATGAATCGGTAACGACCAGCTCTGGAGCCGCATAGCAGGGGCTGCCACAGCTAGTCTGCATTAGATCACCGCGCCTAAGGCCCTTCGCATTGGGCCGGTCTAGTTTCATCCTCCTCACGAACTCCCTATTGGTCAGATTATATTCAATTTCCTCACCCAGTTCATCGGACGGGTCGAACGTGTTTGCGAATCCAAAATCGGTGATGATGATATTCCGGTTGCGATCGAGCATTAAGTTCTCCAGCTTGAGATCGCGGTGAACAATTCCCTTCTTGTGCAAATAGCCTACGCCGGAAACTAGTTGGGCAAATAGGCGACGAGCAGGGTTGTCCTTTAGATACCGGTGGTTGAGGATGTAGTCGAACAATTCGCCTCCAGACGCATACTCCAAAACAATGCCAATATGTCGGTCTGTCTCAGCCATCTCGTGTAGTCGCACAATATTTGGATGTGAGAGTTCTTTCAAAATCGAGATTTCGCGATAGATTTTCGGGAGGCGACTCGGGTTGTTTCCGAGACTCTCCCTTCGCAGCAACTTGATCGCAACTTGCACGCTACCGTCTTTTTTCCAGCCGAGTCTAACTTTTCCAAACTCACCTTCGCCAATGGTTTGACCGAGGACATAGTCACCAAACGTTGTCTCTTTTCGCCTTGAGGAATTTGAATAGTCATGCCGGCTTCGAGCCCCTCTTCCGCCATCATCAACACCCTCACTGCTAACAAGTCCCAATCCGGATACGGGTTCTCGGTCAGGTTGAGCTTCTGCCTGACGCTCCTTTTCGCGTGCAATATCCACCTGTGGATCTGTTGCAACCATGCGATCAATCGCCGAGCTTCCTTGCTTATGAATACCAGCTGGAATCGAAGTTGGGCCCATTGTAGCCTCAGAGCGACTCTCCATTGCGGGAGGAGGCGACATGTGGTCTCTGGGTTCTCGTGTGCTTGCAGCTCTTTGTGGACGTTCGGGTGAATGTGGGCCTTTGCGACGCGACTTGGCAGTTGCCGGGCCACCGTTATCTTTCATTCTCTCACGCGCATTTGTTTCACGAGTATGTTCTCGATCTCCGCGGTTCCGTCCGTTGTCTCCCTTTCGTTTGGAGTGTTTAGAGTTGCTTACTCGCTCAGTGGAATTGTTCGCAGACGGGTTATTTGACGAGGTGCGGCTCCGTTGGTTCGACGACGTACGAGGAGGGGGAATCGGGGGAGACCCAGGGCCGTCGGACAAGGTGGGTGTAGGGCGAGGACGCGGATTGATGGGTCCTTGAGCTGTAGGTGGAGTGGCCGGTGAAGGGGAAGCATGGGTCGAAGGGGGCAAGGGAAGATGCTGGGGGGGATTCATTGTCGAGGTGACGGTAGATGGAGGAGAATTGAACTGGTCAGGACTAACCGGTGCGGTGGGGTGAGCAGCATTGTCGCCGTGCTGTCTACTTGAAAATCGTTGCCCAACTGCTGTTTGTTGGAGTGGCGGCGGTCTGGAAGGTCCCGTTGGTGCATATTGGCTGGGTGACTGAGCGGTGCTATGCTGGGAAGCGATCTGCGTAGCAGACGACATGCCTTCCCCGAGAAAGAAAGCAGCCAGAAGGTGGACAGTGGGGATTCAATCTTCCATGTACCAGCAGTCGATTTTGACTAGACCACAATCCAGCTGGCTTTCGCGATTGATTCTTACTCGAAAAAATAAAAAAGAAGAAGAAGAAAAAGAAAAAAAAAATGAATGAATGAGTGTTTGGGTGGTTCAAGCGATGAACATTTGTCCACAGAGACACTGCACACTCAATATTGGTTTACCCACTGCTAACGGCGCACAATCGCCAGCAGTCCAAAAGCATCTAATTAAAATTAAAATAATACACCAAACAAAGCTTGTCTTCTGGATGGGTTCTTGAGCGAATTGGTATCGCCAAATCAATTGACAATTGGCAGTATGAGCGGTGGGCTGTGTTGTTTATGGTGTCGGAGGGTTGGGTTGCCAGACGACGCGAAGGGGGGGGCCAGCTGCACACGGTTGGAGGGGTCTAGAAACCCGATGCGAGTCAAACGACGTAGATTGGCTGAGTTGCAGGACAACACAAGGGCGCCTTTTGCGCTTTGAAGAAACAGAAAGAAGGAAAGGCGGGCTAGCAACGCGTGTTTTGTGTGGTGTGTTTCTGCTCGACCGACAACAAGAGACCGCCGCAACCAGACAAAAAGAAGTTGTTGAAAATCTGTTTGCTTCTGTTTGGTGCGTGATGTGCCCGGGGCAAACGTGCCTTCCACCGCGGATGTGCTACTTCCACACCCAATTTGTCGGGCGCGGTTTTGCAGTATTAGGATTAAGCGTAGCAGGAGCAAGAGTTTTTTTGTGGATATAGCAGTATGTAGCGCAGTGGCAGTGGCAGTGGCAGTGGGAGTGGGAGTGGGAGTGGGAGTGGGAGTGGGAGTGGGAGTGGGAGTGGGAGTGGGAGCAGGGATCTGCAGTAGGGAGTGGTGAGGAGTAGTAGCAGCAGCAGCAGCAGCAGCAGTGGCTACAGAACGGCGTGTCGTGGACCCAGCGCGAAAACAACGGCAGACAATCGATGGATGTTGAGTGTTGTTGATTGATGGTATGCGGGTGGAGCTGCTGACTGATGTGATGGAAGTGAGCGGATCAGGATGTATGGAAGGAGGGGAAGAGCCAGGAACAGGAGGGGACGAGACGAGACGATGGAATAAATTAAGTAAACGGGTTCAACGACGCGGACGGACGTGACGACGGGAATGCGGCAACCAGCTTCTTGGGCGAGTGAGGGATTGTCCAAGGTACGATTGGAGGTCCAGTTGACCAAAACGGCATGATCGACAGTAGGACCTAGGGTAGGGAGAGCAAGGGGCGTATGGATTAAAAAAGGAGCGGGGGAAGACCTAGAGAAGCCGACCGGGCGACCTGGTCTTGAGGGGAGGTTTGGTTTAAATAATTGACACCTGGCGTGGAAGAAAAGGAGTGAGAATGGTGGGAGAGATGGGTTGAGAGGGAATGAAAGCGTTGGGGGAGGGGTTAAGGGAGAGATTGGGAGAGAAAGAAAACGGAGAAGAGGAGGAGAGGAGGAGAGCGAGGATTGAGATGGGAGAGGGAGAGGGAGAGATAGAGAGAGACAGGGAGAGAGAAGGGGGGAGGGGGGAGGGAGAGAGGGAGAGACGTGAGAGGGAGAGGGAGAGAGAGAGAGAGAGAGAGATAGAGAGAGAGAGAGAGGGTGGTAGGAAAAGTGGAGGAGGCTTAGTGTTGCGGAATTGAGGAATTGAAATGAGGGAATGAGAAGACTGAGAAGACTGAGAACAACAACAAAGCGGACAGGAAGGCTAATGAGGACTAGCACGAGGAGATTCAACCAAGCAACGACCTAGTAAGAAACTAACTGTGGATACCACCTCCGTAGACATGCGAGAGAATGAGAGAACGAGAGAGAGAGAGAGAGAGATGTGACGGAGAGATGAGATTGAAGGAATGAACTGAGTTGAGGATATCCATTATTTGGTTTCGGGTTCAATGTCTGATGTATGAAAGTGACATGGCAGAACTAAAGTAGTATTAACTAAATAGTTAAGCAGTTAACTATAGTTAGCTAGTTAATGAGAAATAACACTTATTTATATCAACAGTTCCATAATAGCAAATCTACAACAACGAGTCACAGCTGTGTCCAGAGCACAACCATCATCTTCATCTCAATCAAACGAAATCGAACGTTCTCCATTATTTCTCTCAATGGAACCAGAGTTTAGAGCCAGGGGAAATAACTCGTGACCATTGAAAACTAGTTGTGACTAACTCTCAGTAGTTACATTACCGATCTGGTTCTAGCGTTCTCTCTGTTCCCTTGCTGCTTTGTTACAAAATGGGCGCTCAGTCGTCGTTTTATTTTCACTTTTCTTCCTGCTTACTCTCGCTTCTTCACTTTTGTTTTCCACTCGGGAGTCTACTGGGAACCAATTCACCTGGAATTCTCCCCAAGCTCACCCGCCCGTTGCCCTCACATGCTCCCCCTTCCCGGCGGAGTCAAACCCCGTGTCGCTGACGCCGCCTTCTCATTTACACACGCTGCATCCTGTGCTGGCTCTTCCAACCTGTTATCTCCCAAGTCAATCCCTTCAAAGTGACGAGAATCCCGCAAAAGTCAGAGGCGAGCTCCTCACAATCGACATCCAAAAGATGACTGGATCGACTCGTGTCGCCTCGCAATCGGTTGGCTGCCAGCAAGCAAACATCTCTCTCCTGATTCCGAGGTTTGCGGGTAGCGGGGGGATCAGCCGTAAGAAGAATCTGAAGGACAAAGATGAAGCGCGATCTGACCAACAGAGTGGGCCTTTTCAATCTGCAATACGGGTAAGCAAGGAGGGCAACATGTTACAGGTAGGAAGTGCCTACCCGGATTGAGACCGCTCGCTGTGTCAGAACGTTCTGACTCTGCCCTGACGTGTGCAAAAGGCATTTCCTGAGCTCTGTCAATGCCTGCTCATATGTCTTTTTTACTTAACTCTTGACAGCTGTGCCGAATGATCTCGTCAGCCCCTCAGATTTTGGAACTTCCGTGGCCATTTTGGTATTGTCTTCCAAGCAGCTTCAACCCTTTTCTATGCAATCCGCAATGGCAGGTCGATGAATGTCGCGGACTTGTTCTCCAGTGCTCAGGGGAGAGGGAGTTGACTGGTTTCAGCTTCAATGCGTCCCTTTATCCGATGCAGGTACGGATGCCCTGTCTGACAGGCTACGTCCCTTGTCCTTCCGCGTAACCATTTCGTGGTGCATTTTTCTGAAAGTGCTCGCAAAGTTTTGCCATTCGTAAACAGCACTTTCCAGATGCTCCTTTATCTCGATATGACGAATCTCACAGAGCTCTTCAGACTTCTCATTCAGTTTATGGCGACGTTTGATATTCCGGTGCTCTGAGCTAACCGCTTGACGACGGCGGCTTAGAGGAGGCTTTCAATGTTGCAGGTAACTTTATATTCGGGAATTTAGGTTCTCTTGGCTCGTCGATGGAGGCGATAAATCAGCCTGTCCTTGCTAGAAAAGAAAATGAAAATGCATGGGCTTCGTTCCCAAGGTCCCACGCCGTGGAAAATTATTGCGGAGAGGCTTGAATTGCTGTCAGGAACAAATTAGACCCGCATTGCGGGCATCACCGCGGTAGCAACCAGTCTATTCTTGTCAGCGAAGCCTGTTATACATAAAACGAAAGTATGGCTATATGTGAGCATTCCTGATATGTAGGCTTGGGGACGGAGGATAGGAACGGTGCAGACGGAGAGAGGGTGGGCCTTTTATTTATTATTTTCTATATCCCAGGCATGGGCTAGAAGGCAAAATTCATCCCTTCACCTGACCTCTCGATGGAACTGCTCTCCTCTGCACTCATCTCCAGCTGACAGATTGGAAGTCGAATCTGACGGTCTCCCCAAACTCCTCTCCCACATGTTCAGAACCGCTGGAGCGCCATTAAAAGCAAATCCCACAGGTTGCCTAGACCTTTGCCTAGAACCTCCTTCCCTGCCACTCCACAGAGTTTAATAAAAGAAGCCACCCGCCTGAAAATCACCGCTCGCGTAACTAGTTAACTACCTCTTTTGAGGTTCAAGGAACTTGCTTCATCTCTAACATTCTTATCCCCACCATAACGTTACAGATCAACCATCTCTCGCTAGCTTCAACCTCCCTATCTCAAATCTTTCAACCTTCATGCTTTACTCGGTTCAACTAGTTATCGAATTCCAAGCCTAGTCTTGATGAAAATCTGCTTCCGGTCGTGTACCAAGTGTCTTAGGGCGTTTCTCTCCACTGTTTCATGTCACATGAATAAATGCCCAGCCTAATCCACAGCCTTTAGTTCTAGCCAAGTGTTACCGATGTGTGCCTGCTGAAGGCCTGATTTGTGTTGTCAAAGTGTCTGGAATTTTGGAAAAAAAAAAAAAAAAAAAAAAAAACTGTGCCTCATCCAAACCAGGGTTCTCCCCCGGCTGGCTGCTTTGTCCTTGCAGTCGTTTTCAAGCAGGGAGACCAAACAAAAGCTGGAGATGTGGGACAAGGAGGATGGATGCCTGCTGAGTTTTGCAATTGCTGTCTCTCACCGGCATACGCCCTTGCACAGCAACTCCCAATTGGCGCACAGGAACTGATAGACATCATCATCATCATCATCATCATCATCATCATCATCATCATCATCATCATCATCATCATCATCATCATCATCATCATCATCATCATCTTTGCTTCCTCTCGCCTTTTGACCACAGTCCAAATGTACTGCGGTGGTCAGCCATTCGTAGACACCCAACAAGATGCAGGAATCTTTCCATCAATGCAATCTGTTCTAGTTGAATCATCCAATGTCATGTGTGATTAGGCCCTCGTGCTTCAACGCATAGAACCTTTATATATATATATTATTTTATTTTGACTCCAGTATATCCAAATAGTTTCTTATCCTTGTCAGACTTGATCCTACGCTTGTGGTCATTTCCTCGAGCCAGTCGAGGAAGGGTTTGAATGTTGGAGGCGCTGAAAGTCTCATGAAATCACGAGGGGTGAGGTGGTTTCTTGGGAATGATCCAGGCCCAATGCAACCGCGCTTGGTGTTGTTTGCAAACTGTTGTTCCCTCACTCCGCTGCCAGTCTCAGGACGGCAGCGGCAGCAGTGGGTTGCGGAACACCAGACGCCTGGCTTTCTCTTTTCCTTGGATGTCGCAACCGCCTATCCGGATGGATCTCAGCAAATTCACTGTTCAATCAACCGTCTAACTAGGCTTGAAATGGATTGCATCCCAGCCCAAAACTACAGTGCCAGCGCTGGTAAAAGCGGCCACGCTCACAGCCTGATTGGGGAGGTGGTTCATGCGTGGCCCCCCTCCCCCCCCCACGATATTATGATGATACAGACATACAGACATTCATACATAATGTAGTTACGGGCAACTCTCTATCAAATGACACATGACTTCACTAGTTCCCACTTCTCTTCCTTGTATATATAAAAGGCAGTTGAATGGAGAAAAGGAAGAGATCCCTAATGATTGGTATGCCCCGCCCCGTCTTGGGCCGCGCTCTGGCACAGATGATGTGATGATGTATGTAGGTTGATAATAAGAACTAAATCATCCACAGTGATTGGCAGGGCTGAGATGCAACCAAAACAATCAACAAAGCAGTCAATGACAGCGTGGCACTGTGGCAAAACAAAAAGAAAAGAAAAAAAGAAAGAAAAAAAAAAAGAAAGAAAAAAGAATGTTGAAAGAGAACTGGAAGAACCTTGTCTTCATCTCAAACTCAACAGCTTCCTTTTTACCTTCGCGCTAGGAGCTAACTAGTGAGCCATAGCTAATATTCCTATCAATTCTTGTTTGGATTTTGAAACATGAAAGGAGGATCTAAATCAGTCAATTAATAAATAATCAAACTGCTCTTGTTTTGGAAGATGTTCTCTATAAATAGCAAGCAGTGCCTTTAGTACATAGCTATATACTACATGCCTGGAAATTGCCACAACAGATCACCTTGCAGCATTAAATTTAGAAGTGTTGAAAGCAAAATGTTCAACTAGTTAACACTAAAGAAAAAAAAAAAAAGTGAAAGTAAATATCAGTCTGCTAATACCTAAACTAATTAAATAAAATAGTAATTCTAGTCTATCAATGTTTCACATATGTATATATATATATTCACTCAATAGGTGCTTTAATGTCTGGACAAAGGCATGATCCAAGGGATTAACATGCATGGTATAGCTTAGTTGCTGTTCTATGAGCCAGACTGAGATCTTCTGCAGACCCTATCCTGGAGTGTTTCATTATGAAACCCTCCAAATGCATCCTCAAGAAAAAGAAAAGAAGAAGAAAATCTCATGATTGCATGGAGAAACATCCATTAGATTATCTTACATTTCACTGTTGTACTTGGTATTGTTGCTGCGAGTCCCTGCTGAATAAACTCTTTGACTTTCTCACTTGCAACCAGAAATGCTACCTTGCCAATCTCATTTATTTTTTTCATAGAACACCAGAATCCAATTGTCAGAGACAAAGGAGTGCATTGATATTAACTAGGGTAGACATCTTTTATTAATCTGGAGATCTTGGAACTAGTCAATTTGAAAACAATAGTTAATTTAATAAAGTTGGTTTCTACTATTAGATAACTATGAAGTTATCTCAAGCTGCATAGAGATCAGTCACTCTTCAAAGCTGTTAAATACCCTATGCTACAGCCATATAAAAAGATAAGCAAAAGCAAAAGTAAAAGAAACACAAAAAGAAATAAATATTTTGGAATGCAGGTTCCTTCCTAACTTAAATCTGATATTTATCATTTTGCTCTAGTTTTGACAGATTACTCTCATCTGTTAAGTTATATTTTTTCTAATTAATTAGCTAGCTAGTGATTCCGTCAATTGTTGAGATTTAACACATTATGAGATTTGAGCTTGTAATAACCTATCACTAATGCATGACTTCTGCTGGCATCTTTTATGGACTTTAAACTAATAAAGTTCTCATCATTTTAACATGGCTTCCTTGCCTCTCAGGTGGGTAAAATAACTAATTAGTGAGTTGTCAAACAGGTAAGAGTACATATCTTACAACCTCATAGACTAGACAGTTGATGAATATACATCATGATGCTGGCTGTCAATGGAGTCTGCAATGTAATCAGACATCTAAGCTGTAAGGAATTAAGGAATTGGTCTTTTTGAGAAGTGTATAAGTAATGAGTTCAACCTGAGAGAGTTGGACAAGAGTGTGAGCTGAGTCCAATAGAAGTTTAACTTACAGAATATATGCGCATGTTGGTGTAGTTAACTGATTACACAGCTCATTTATTTTTGATTCCAGGGGTTTTACAACAGCGCGATTCCTAAAACTCATATCATGTGCAGTTGTAGAACATAAGTGGATTGAATAAAATACAATCAGATCTATAGAAACCTTTAAATCTCTCAGAGATTCACTTTATTGCAGTGGGATAGAGTATTGGAGTATTTTTAAACTCACTGGCACTCTCCATTGGAGAATGATAACATCCTCACCTTCAAAGAAGGATTATATTAACCCTCCTTGTATGAAAGGATAACAACAAGAGGTGTAAAGTGCTTGTAACTGAAGGAAATGAACAGAAAAGAGGCCAGCAAAAGTGTTCTATCATCAAATTAAAAACTATACACATAAATCTGAATGTAAGTTATATCTTGATATAAACATCAATGTCATTTGAATATAATTTGCAGCTTACTCATTGTCTTCATTCCCATCATTGTCACTTCTATCATCACCGCTGCTTCCATTTCCCCTCCGTAACCTGGTCTTTTCCTTCTCTTCCAAAATCGCAGTCACTCAAAAGACCGCTTGTCCAATATTGACATCCATGTTTTTACCTTATCAGTCATCATGTTATTGCTATTTCCAGCCCTATCGCGGTCCCCTTCCTCATCATCATCACCACCACATCTGTGGACGGATGAACCGCACCCATTTTCTGCTGGATAAGTGACACACACCTCACCAGCTCATTCGCATCCTGCAAGCTGATGAGAATCCTCTTCTTGTCTGATTTTGCTGATGCATTGCGCAGCAACTGCATGATCTTACTCTGACTGCACTTCTTCCACAAAATAGTTAGTTCATCATCTATGGAATTGAAGGTGCTGAATGCGCTGAGCTTGAACTTGGTGCCTGATCTGTAAGAATCATTAAAATTCTAGTAAATAATAGGAGTTCCTCTGTAGTACCTGTAATTTTCGTGGTTGATTTTCAAGATTGTAGTGTTAAGGGTTTGCAGAAGGTAAGTTATGAGCTTGTTCTCTGCAATCTCTAAGGGAGTAATTCCTGTAGCGTTTTCCAGATTGACAAGGCTGGAATCCCTCTTTAACATTATTCAAAGATACTTGATGTTCTGAATTCTGGTAACTTGATGGATTGGATAGTTTCCTTCTTTGTCAAGGATATAGAGCCCTTTCCTCCAGTAATATCAAGTATTGTTTCAAGCGTATCTGTTGTGGTCTTATGTGACTTTTGAAGCCACTTTGACAAGGGACTCTGCCTACCCATTCAAGATAACTTGATCTTGCAGACTGTAAACGAGATCTTTGTACTGCAAGGGTTGAGAGGGACCCCAGGATCTAAGATGCCACTCAGCACTCTAATGATTTCAGTAGAGTGATTGGCGGAGGAAGGATGTGGGACAAGAATGTAATGAAGCATGTTATGGCCATTATTGTCCCAAGTGATTTAGTCTGCTCCAGCCTCAACAAGCACCCTGGTGGCTATAATCCTCTGACCAGCAAATGCCAGATGCAGTGATGTGAGATCATCAGCATTCTTTGTGTGCAAGGAGTCTGGGAATTGTTGGAGGATAAAGTGAATGAGAGAAATGCCAAGTTCCTCAGTTGGTGCGGTCATTACAGCACAGTGGAGAGCCAAATTTCCTGATGGTGGTTGTCAGTTCATGAACAATGATTCTCATAGAAGAGGAAGGGAAAGAGCAACTGTGTAACTCACATCAAGCACCCAGCCAGGATGTTATCATCTCCTCAAATCCACTCTCTTCTTGGAAAAGGGGCGCCAGGCGACTGTCATCTCTGAAAGTGTGTAGAAATTCCCTATATTTCTTTTCAGGCTCATTGTTAAGGAACCACTTAACAGACTCAAGATTCTTCAATGTAATGGTGAGCAAAAGAAATGAGTTGGAGCTTTGTAATGAGCGTCCATAAGGGTATACATTTTCAGTCACCCAATCTTCCCATTTCCTCCTGTACACAGAGAGGCCTTGATAATACTTGGTTATTTGATAGGAAAGTTGCGCTCATTTAGCTGATAATTAACCATGGTCAATTACATACCTTTTGTTTAGTTTTCACTTTGACACCAGCTTCCTCCATCAGAGCCGGAAATGGGAATCCAATCCCCATTTTTAACATGAAAAAACCTAGCATCTCAGTTTGGCCATTCTTCACAGCTAGTTTGAATATATCAAAGCTAACCGTGATAAACTTGTGATAGTCACCATTGTCAGATTTACTCTTGATAAAGTAGTGTGTTTGCTTCTTGACTAAAAATTTGACTGCTGCCATGTCATTTTGCCAGACAGCAAAATCAAGTAGAGACATGCCCTGGATTGCGAAAGATGCCTTCATAGTTTGTGTGGCCCAATACTGTAGACAATGAGGCGAGAAGGTCAGTAAAACAAAAGATCCAAAACAATTTATGAAATTAAAGGCAGGCCAAAGCATGACTGCTTACAGTAGAATCCTGAGTCCAGCTCCCTACAATGTTGGACAAGTGTTTGTGTTCACTTTTCACAAATTCCTTATCTCCCAGGAATAGAGACATATCTCGGCTACGAGTGAGAAGATAAAAGGGGGAAGTCGTGTATTTACTGGTGTTCATGGTATCTCAAACATCATCAATGGTTTGCTGGTCATTAACAATGTTGAAATGCACACCTACTCCATCATTATCTGAGTCATCATCAGTTTCGCCGCTGGAACTGTAATCATTAACATTAGAGTCAACAACAACTTTATATACTTTACAGCTTGTCTTTTTGGTATCTGCTTGGACTTGTTGAGCCTCAACATCTTGAAGAATTGCCCTAGCCAGCTTGAAGTGGCCCTGAGCCACAGCAATAGTGAATGGGTCAAAGAGCCGCACTTTGTGCATTGCTGTAAGCTGAAGCGATGATGATGATTTATTCAGAGCCTGTGGCTCAGTGGTAAGTTGCTTGACTCTCACAAGATCACCATCCCATGCGGCTTGGAACCTGTTTTCCAATAATTAGAGAGTAAATGACATCTTATAGTGATAGTATGGAGGGCAGAACTACAGAAGGAGGAGAAAAAATGAAGGGAGGAAAAGAGATAAACCTACAGTGGAAGATACTGTTTCATATCCAGATCTCCAACATCTTGATCTGTAAATGTATAATTGATTTCAAACTTCTTCAATGTTGTGTCATCAAGAACTAATGGCATTCTGTCCCTCCCATGTTGAACATGAGCATTGCCATCATGTGTAGGGTGCAATTCTGCAAAGATTTTGCCACCTTTTGCTTTCAAGGCTTGTTCGACTTTCTCTAGAGCCTCAATTTCATGTTTGATCCCGTCGGCATTCTGCTTCTCTTGTTGTTGGGCTTCTGTAAATCTTTTGCTGTTCAACTCATTTTCGATTACCTCAACTGCAATTTTGGCCATGGCGAGATCCTTCTGGACAAAGGAATATTCAAATGTCCCTTCCATCAGACCATCCAAATAAACTGCGTCCGATTTGAGCTCTGCATTCAGAGAAGTGATGGGTTTACTGCGATGCTGAATCAATGACTTCAAAAAATCCTTTCGCGCGCCAATAACATCAAGAACAGTCCGACCATTGTTAGAGCTACCAAAATCCGAATCAAGTAATGCGTACGCATCTATCGTCATTGTGTTAGGATCAGCCCCGGCATCCAAGAGCTTTCTGACCACCACAGGTGTTGAAAATTCAGCTGCTTTAACAATCAGTTGAACCATACAAGCCTCAATCTTCGTCATCTTTCCCTGGCGAGCCCAAAAACGTCGGTGACATTCAGTGGGCACTGATAGAGTGCCGCCGTTGTCCAATGATTTTTCAATCATAGCAATGCCCTTGTGCCTAACCGCTGTCGTTAAAGGTAGTACAGCTCGAGGTCGCCAATCAGTAGTGACAGTTGGGTGATTTATTGCAAGGTGGGAAGCAGGTCCGTCGAATTTGAAAATCGCGTCAAGAAGACGAGATTCTCCAACCATTACAAGAGAATAAAACGCTGTCAGATGTTGCATATCGGCTTGTGTGGAAGAAGCGCCCAGCTCTAGGAGGGTCTGTAATAAAGCCTTGGATATCTCGAAAGGGTGGTGCATTGCAAGGAGCATGGAAAAGAGCACATGAGATTGACTGTACTCCTTCTTCACAAACGGCTGGTTTACATCAACACCAAATTCCGTGGCAAGGCAGTTGACAATATCGACATGGCCATTTAGAATAGCCACATGAAGCGGACTAAGTGGGATATCCCACGAAATAACGCCAAGGTTATCGTAAAAATTAGGCTCGTCTTCCTCGTCGTTCTGTTCTTCCATGGTGACCTTTGAGGGGTCGGTAACAATGACCATTGACCCTTGAGTGGCGGCGTAGGGGGACTGTGGGCCGGTTCTCACAATTGAAATGTCGTCAAACTCTCCTTCACCTTCCTCATCGTCGTCGCCATCTGATTCGATATTATGTCCAGCAGTTTCTGGATTTTTATTTGATTTTTTCCAGATATTCCACCTGATTTGCCTCACTTTTCCGAAGAATGGCTCGCAAGATTCTCACATCCCCACGAGCGGCAGCAAGATGAAGGGAGGTGAATCCGTCAGCGACGCGGCTCACAAGCCGGGCCCCGCGGTTGACGAGGCATTGTACAATTTCGGGGGTGCCGCACATTATTGCTAGATGCAAAGGCATGCCCCCTGTGTAGTCTCGCTGGTTTACATTGAAGTTTCCTGGGTGCAACACTTTTGAACGTGGGCAATATATCCCTCAACAATGGCTTTACAGAGACTTTCTGCGTCGTTGACGTACGCGAATTCAGTCCAATCTGAATCCGTTATAGGATTGAAGCTCCCGATTGCTTGTCTTCCAGGATCGTTTTTCATAAAATTGGACTTTGCCTGACACGTATTTTTTACCCTCCTGCTCTGAGATGTCCTTCTCCTCGTCTGTAAGCGGAACAGGGCAAAACCCACAGCAATCGTCGGTGACGTGCTCTACGCTACCAAAAAACGCAGGGTGCCTATGCAAATCCACAGAACGATCCTTAGGCTTGTTCCACTCAGCATTTAGGAGTAAATCCTTCTTGTAGATTAATTTCTCGATCTGTTAAGAAAGAGATATCAATGACAAGGCCCCTTGTAAAAAAGGGACGTGGAAAAACAAATACCTTCTTGGACGTGTATTTTGGCCCATACGGAATGGTGAATGTGTGGTAGTTAGAAACATCCTCTTGCTCAACCCATTCTGCAACATCTTCCGGTTGGACTTCTTTCAGGTTTGCTCTGTTGCGATAATAGATCTTCCCACCGGCTGGAAGAGGTCTATCTCGGGCTGCACGGCGCTGCCCAATGTACTTTTCCCTCCCAGCTTGGGTAGGAAATTTCTCCGTAACTATGAGTCGGGCGAGGCCAACAATATGATTAAAGCTTCTTTCGAAGATTGTCGGATCAATCTTGGAACGGTCCAGGGCCGGCCAGTGCACCTCAAATCCGCGGTGGGCATATTTGGCAAGGCGGTTTTCATACGAAGGAGAACGCCGGGTGAGGTCCATGGAGTTCGTCTGAGTAGCAAAAGCTGCGATTGCCCGGGGACTGGCCCAAACCTGCGAGCCATCAAATTCGGTGCAGGCACAATCGACATCGAAGCCTGTCAAGATTTCCGAGACGCTTTTATAGAGTCTGAGAACTATCTGGACATGACGAACTGGATATTTTGAGACAATTGTTAGGGCATCTTTGGATCGAATGACCTGTTCCCGCTGTTAGATATCTTCCGCAATAAATAAGAATCTTATGATTGAAATTAATTTTATATACGCTGACTTCCTCCAAAATACTGTTGCGGACGCATGTCTCAATCTGTTTGATTTTCTCGATAGCCTGTTCTTCGTTAAGCCCATAGAGGAACAGATCGACGTCGGAGGAAGTTGCAATTTTTTCGTGGTAGTATTCTCTGTTGAAAGATCAACAAAATGCAGTAAATCTCAAAAGGGCATGTCTAAGGTCTATCTATAGAAGGCCAAATAATTTCGTTTTCATACCTCTGCGCCTTCCGGGAGGAACTGCACTTGTCAGGAACAGGCAACAGGCACGTAGTCACAGCACTTCCAGACACAACAACATTGCTCCAGTCCATATCGACCAAGGATAACTCCGAAAACAGTCTGAAATTATCCATGAACTGATCGAACGTAGGAACAATGGCAGGGCCGCCATTCCCTTTCAGTGCTCTGTGAATCAGTGGAAGAATATCCTTTTCAGCGTCCGCTGGGCTTTCGTTAAGAAGATCCCGCGCTTTCACCTTAAGGCGTTCGGCTTGACCGTTATAGACGGGGAGAACATTGAGATGAGGGTCCTCAAGGATTTTATTGTCAGGCTCTTGGGCAAAAACCTCACGGAGCTTATACTTATAGGCTTTGAACGGAGCCATCACACTGCCGGTAAGAACTTCATCACGACTATTTTTATCCAGATAGGAAATGAAGTCATTCAACGGCACTGGGATAGACGGTAACTCCATGCTTACGGGAGGCGAACACAATATGTCAAATTTCACGAGATAAAATCAAGAACAAAGGCGGGTAAAGGGTTTCGGGGACTATTGCTGTCAGAACTAAGTGCTTGGGCAAGAAGACTGTTGCTCAAAGGCCAACAACAATTATGAAAACTGAAAACAACCACGGATTGAAGCTGCCTTTTGAAGTTCACCCAATTGAGTTTGGAAATACGAGACTTTTGAAAAGTACAGGCCCCAGTAGGCAGCAACGCAGCGCTAACCATCTGTGGTCGAGGGACAAATTAATTAGTCTGAAACGTTGCATAAAATCATAATGGCAACAGCGCCAGCAGAAGAGCCGACTTGGGAGCTGGCGCCGACTCCCAAGTACGTCCCATATATGTGCCACTGAGCTCTGTGGTCGACATGCGCGAAAGCGAAGTTGACCAGATGTGTCATGGTTGCCTTCCCCTAGCGAGCATAAGGGGGTTTCCGGGGTCGCGCTAAATTTTTTAGCCTGTAGTTTAATCTCTCCTTTAACTGTAGGGGTTGAAGTTAACAAGGGATCCAAGGAGCACGCCAGGCAGCATATCCACTTCTACCTTGACGACAAAAGGGCTGGCGATGACTTCGCTTCATTTTCATTTCCATCGTTGTTACTAACTCATGGGTCGTCCAGTTTGACACCCCAAAAGTGTCGAAGCCTATTGCCATCGCTGGAACGAGGCCCTCAGGCAAGGAAAACAGATAGGAACGATAGAAAGGATATGTCCAGACTGCCCATCCCAACCTGACGGCCTGACCTGGGAACAGGCGATAACTAACTGGCCGTTGAAAGAAAGTTGCAAAGTTTTGAGATCTCATAACTTAATTGCCTACTCGGGACTAGGTAGATTTTGGGGGTTGGGGTTGAATCAAGCTTATTTTAATACATGCCGCGGGAAATACGATTGCCAATTACGGCAGTCACGACCTCTCAAGCGCCCAAATGGAATATCTGTGCCCGAAGGGGAAATAGATATACAACCTTGGGACAAAAAAAAAAGAACCTTTTAAATAGGTAAAAATACAAACGCTGAGCGGTGACAGACCAGGATTATAAATTCAACCCTGAGAGCACTACAACACAGATTCTGCCGTGCAGTTAACTACCGTGCAGGTATTCCAGGGAAAGATGTATCTTCTATTAGTTATGCCAATTATTGCCGTTCCAATATCAAGACACTAATTACAGCAAGCGCCAAAAAACGCGGGAAAATACTAAAAAACTCCCAAATGGAATGAGCGCGGAAATGCAGAAAACAAAAGGCCCCAGGAATCATTCGAAGAACCAGCTGGAAAGCTAAACTAATACAGCGAGGATCGTGTATCGAAAAACAAGTGATACAGAAAGACCCCCAAAGAGATGTCGCAAACGCCGGAAAACTTAAGCCCTACCCGCCCTCAAACTTTTTAACGGGATTAAACGTTCGATTGCTTGCCATTACGCAATGGCGTGCCGCCCAGCGAGCGCCCAGTCTGCACACCATAGGCAGGTGGTGGAGTAGGAGCGGGCGACGGACCACGAGGATGGTGAGGAGGGTTGACAGCTGTTAAGCCAGATAAGCTTTGGCTACTCCCCGACCCCATGAGAGGGGGAGGCGGTGGAGGCTGCTGCCCAAACAATCCAGGATGCGGCTTATGATCATCGCCGCCAACGACAATTTGCTGTCCATCCTTCATGCGACCTACTACCATTCCCTTCGCAACGGATCTGAGAACGGCCTTGCGAGACACGCCCGCAGCATCAATGTAGACCAGGCCGACATTTTTCACCCCGCCAGCTAGGTTGGCGGTGACTCTGCCAGCCTCTTCGCCGTAGCGGTGGCCAACGACTGTGGTTGCGGCACATTGTCCCGAATGCAGGAGATTTTTTGCGCTCTGGTCGATGCCGTCTGCGATTGTCGAGAAGGCGATGAGGGACTTATTCAGGATACCGGGCTTGTATTCGTAGATTGGCTGGCCATTTTCATCGTAGCCTTTTGGTTTTGAACCTTGGTTCTTGCCCGCGACGGAGGCGCCCAGGTTCTGCGCTATCTGGGTTACCGTACCAACAGTTTTGGATGAGAGTCCCGCGGCGCTGGTGGAGATTGTATTGATCCTCCGGATCCGAGCGTGGGTCGTTGGTTTGAATGTCATGGGTTTGGCATTGGGCTTTGTTTTCTGGGTGAAGGTGTTTGCGCCGGATTGCAGGGACTTGCCGATAAACGCAGAACCTGCAACCAACAGGCGCGAGGCGGTGACGGATGTCTGAACAATGGTGGACTTTGCATAGGCCGGGTGTCTCGCGGTGTGAAGATATTCTTCAGAGATATTCTGAACTCTGATCTTGCTACCTTGTCCCTCAGAGGGGAGCTGGATTTCAACCGGATCTATTTTTGCAGCTCTGGTGAGAAAAATTTATTTACCAGAATTGTGTAGGGTGAGATTGGACATACTCTTCGAGCCGTGCTTCACATCTGCAGCCTCCACGACGTTAAAGCCATCCGTCAGCTCTCCAACCACGCTTCCATTCTCCTCGTCAACCAGGACGATTTGACCGGACTTGGGTTTCGCAGTCTCACTCCTGTGGTCACTCCCGGTTCCAACGTATCCTTCACCAGGAGCATATGTGGCAGGGTTATATTTAGCAAAGTTCGGGGGGGAAGACCGCTCGAGGAAGGCCGTACACTGAGCGAGAATAGTTTCAAAGGTGTCCACGTCTTCCTGGGACACTTCATCTGGACCATTGCCGATTGGAGGAAATTGGATACGCGTGAATGCCCCGGCTTCGGGTCCCAGATCCCAGCGTGGGATGAGGTAGCTGTCGGGTGGCTGGTGGTATATCTGAGTAGTTGCGGGTAAAGGCAGATCCAACTCGGGGGGGAGGTGTAGATGGAGGTAAAAGTCGTCTTCTGGAGGCTGGGAGGCTAATTCGGGATCCGTAGACGGGCATGAGGTTGGGACCATCAAAAGAGAGAGTGTTTGAGGGCCGGATGGGGTGAGTTCCGATTCCTCTCCATTCTGAATATGGAACGCTCTGATATTGTTGATGCTGAAAAACAGACGAGGATCGTAAGGTCCCCCCGACATTCTCGCGATCTAGAGTTGACAAACTGAGTGTATCACTTGAGTATTCAACAGATGTCAGTATGGATCATGGTTTATTGCGACACAATTCTCGTCCTTCTTTACAGTTTTGAGGGGCAACATACGTAATCCTGACAACAGAGAAATATGGACTTGGTATTTCAACCACAGTTACGGTTGCGGCGGGGGAGGGAACTTTTGAAAGCGAAGATGTAAGATATCAAACCCAGCCACACAAGGCAGTGATAAATTCCAAAGAAGAAAGAAAAATAAGATCGCCAGAACAAAAAGGTGGGAGACTGAAGAATATATCGCTCCTGAGAAAGGAAGAGGGGTTGGGTTGGTTGGTTTGTTTTAGTACGGAGGGGCATCAGCCACAAATCGCAGGGTACGCACAACCTTGGGACTTCCATATGGTTCAACCAGGGCTCCAGAGTCGGTGATTGGCCAGCAGCGGGGAAGTTGCGTGTGAGCGGCGGGATCCTTTCACGGCGTCAAGTTGGGCTTGGCGCAGGTTTATTGGCGGAACATCGTGAGAGGGGATGACGTCACCGACACCCAACCGGAAAGTCCCTATAATGCACTGCCACCGGTTAACTATGTGGCTGGTGACTATCATATCTAATGCAACAAGTCTTAGTATGCAGCAACGCAATCGTTGATCACATGCAACATCGCTGAAAGTTTCAATCTTTCGCGACAGTTTACGAGAAAGAGAATTCAGTGTATTATTTTAATTGTCATAAATAGGTTAAGAATCTCTTTATATTATACGATTGTTTAGTTGATTAGTTAAAACGCAAGTGAGAGATATTATACCATGCAGCAGCTTGAAACTTGACCTTCTCCTGAAGCTTTGAATAACTAGTAGACTTCTATCTTTCTGGTAGAAGACTAGACGGCCCTATTGTTGTTGACACATACAACTAGGTCGATGAACACATCACATGGAAGAGAAGTGGGCCAGAGAGGCGGTGGATTACGTTAGAGGAGACGAATAAGCTGGTGATACAGACTGGCCTTGCAGGGCGTTGAATTCGTCTAGATAAGCAGATTTGTCTCTGAAGTTCTAGGCGCTTGGTACAGACAGCTATGTACGAGGCTATTCCGCTTTATCTTCCCTTGGTTTCGGATTGTGACGCACGCTCATACAGTTATAGGTCAATGAGAGTGAACCCATCCGAGTCTGGTGATCGACACTTGAACAGCGTCGACCAAGGCCAGCCAGTTAATACGGCTTCACTCTCTCTATTATCCTGATCAGATCGACTGGGATCAATTTGATAAAGCTTGCGCTGCGTTGTCAAAGTTCCAAGTAAGTAGTTGCCTCATTGGGTGCCTTCCGTAAATAGCCGAAGGGCCCCTAAGCCCTCCCCATGTGACTTGTATGCCCTAAAAAGCCAACCCCGGAAAAATCTTCTGTTAGTTGAATCTCTCGAATCTGTTCTTTTCGAACTTCCCAGGCCTCAAGATCTGACTACCTCGGACTACATTTCTGTTCCCGTGCTTTGGTGTTTGAACCCTTGACGACGGCGCTTCCTCGATATTATTAGGAGTTATGGTTTCGGTTGCACGAGTTCTCCGGCCACTTTCAGGCCGTCCTGTGGCTTCCATTCTCTCCACAGCAACTCGAAAGACGGTGCCGTCAAGGACATTCCAGTGGTATGAAACCCGCTTCGAGTCAAGAAGATTTTTGAATTCTCTCTACTGTACTCGTCAACACGTTTCTGTCCTGCCCAACGGGCTCTCTAATATGTTCTGTATATCCCCTCCAGCACCCGCTCGTTCTCCGCCACACCCCGCCACAACGATGTTGACATTACCTCCCTCACGCCTACTCCGATCACCCATCTCTCCGAGACCGAAGCCATGATGGCCGAATCCGTGTCCAAGTTTGCTCAGGAGCAAATTGGTCCCAAGGTCCGGGACATGGACGAAGCCGAAGCCATGCACCCTGCCGTCATTGAGCAGCTATTCGAACAGGGACTCATGGGTGTGGAGATCCCAGAGGAATTTGGCGGAGCTGGCATGAATTTCACCTCTGCCATTGTCGGGATTGAGGAGCTGGCCCGGGTCGATCCCAGTGTCAGCGTTCTGTGCGATGTGCATAATACCCTCGTCAACACTGCCATTCTCAGATTCGCCGATGCAGCAATTAAGAAAAAGTGGCTGCCAAAGCTGGCCACGGACACCGTTGGGTCTTTCTGCTTGTCAGAACCTGCCTCGGGATCCGATGCCTTTGCCCTTCAAACCAAAGCGGTGAAGACTAGCTCTGGATATAAGATCAATGGCTCGAAAATGTGGATTACAAACTCGATGGAGGCCGGTTTCTTCATTGTGTTTGCGAACCTCGATCCCAGCAAGGGATACAAGGGCATTACCGCTTTTATTGTTGAAAAGGATACGCCAGGGTTTAGCATCGCGAAGAAGGAGAAGAAGCTGGGTATCCGGGCTAGCAGCACTTGCGTCCTCAACTTTGACGACGTTGAAATCCCCAAGGAGAACCTTATCGGAGTGGAGGGTCAGGGATACAAATATGCCATTAACCTATTGAACGAGGGCCGCATTGGCATCGCAGCCCAAATGACAGGTCTTGCCCTGGGCGCCTGGGAAAATGCTGCTAAGTAGGTTTTTGTTATGCAGCCATCATTTGTGCTGTTCCACCATCCATTGGAAACGAAACTGACAAAGCATCTCAATTTTTTTTTAATTTTTATTTTAAAAAAAAAACAGATACATTTGGAACGACCGCCGCCAATTCGGTCAACTCATCGGTGAATTCCAAGGCATGCAACACCAAGTAGCGCAAGCTTATACTGAAATTGCCGCTGCTCGTGCTCTCGTCTTCAATGCCGCCCGCAAGAAGGAAGCTGGCCAGGACTTCGTGCAGGACGCTGCCATGGCTAAACTTTATGCGTCCCAGGTTGCGGGCCGGGTTTCAGGCTCCGCGGTTGAGTGGATGGGTGGCATGGGCTTTGTCCGTGAGGGCATTGCCGAGAAGATGTTCAGAGACAGCAAGATCGGTGCTATCTATGAGGGCACGAGTAATATCCAGCTTCAAACGATTGCGAAGTTGCTGCAGAAGCAGTATACTCAGTAAACGTAGTCTGATAGAGCTAAGAAAAAGAAAAGAAACTGTACCGGGTTTATGTAGGTACATGTGTTGTAAATACTTCTCTAGAGAAGAAGGCTGTAAAATTGCTCCTAGAAAAAAAATTGCTGTTGAGTTATTCCAAATTGCCCATATTGTAATTCATGAGAGTACGGTCGCTAGAAACACCACCAACACCTCAACCACGCGTGCTACATCAATATGATCACTGCGTAGAGTTAAGAGAGAAATACCTCACACAAAGAATATCACATACAAAAAGGGCAAAACTAATGTTTGTCATTCAAAATCTATCTCTCATCCACGTACAATAAAAAAAATATAAAATATAAAATATAAAAAATAAAAAAAAAAGAGAGAGATGTTGACCTCCTTTTCGTCTATCCCCTCCAACCAGCACCCATCCAAGATTCAAGTACACCAACGTCTTCAAAAATGAAACTTTGCATTTCCCATTTCGATCCGGGGCACTTGCCGCACTCTTCAACGGTTGCTACTTTACCGCTGATCGACCATATCCGTCAGGGTCGGTCGGTAGTTCCTGGTTTTCAATAGCTGGATATTCAAGTAGTTAGTTAACTAAGTAAGGGAGCCAACATTTAAAAAAAAAAAAAATGAAAGGGACATGACAAACTGCCGAGGGGATACCGACGGAACAAAATATGTGCTTTTCCGTTCGTTTTGCATCACATACCTAAAAGAGTAGGAGTATGAATGCATAATGACGCGAAGGAAAGAGGATATATAGTTACTTCTTAGAAGCAGTTATGAACCGGCCTACCTCTTCTTCCTCACTTTCCACAGGTGACCCCCCCCCCCCCTCCTTCATAGTATGTATGAGGGCTATACGAAGACCGGGCGCCAACATAGAACGCCAGTCCGGTAAGACGCAGTCCTCCTACTCCTCGCTTTTGAATAGGAGTCTCGCAAAACAGCCCGCCAGCCATCTCTAAAAAGTGGAAATTAAGCCTTTCTCGGAGCTCTAGACTTGCTAGCTGTGGCTGTGGCTGCGGCTGCGGCGGTAGCTATTGACGCTGTTGACGACGTACGTTGGCGTGAGATCTCTCGGTTGACTGCTGAAACGGGAACTGGCCCGTCTCACATATTTCTGTTGGCACATGCCTAGGACGAGAAAAGTGACGAGGAAGAACCACGAGCCCGATAGCATGCAGAGAATCTGGAGGGATCCCATGTTTTATTTTTTATTTTTATTTTTATATTTTGCTTTTGTCCCTTGTTCCCTGTTCTCCCCCCCCCCCCCCCTTTCCCCCTCCCTTCCTTGGTTTCTCGGTTGTTCTCTGGCCCTGTCCTTCCGATTTGCTTTGATGCTGACTTCTGCCTTCTAGTAGGGAACCAGTTCCTGGTATGCAGGTGGGGGAACTAAAAAAGGGGGAGAACTTTTGATTTAAAGATCGTACGTATGCTGGACGACTGGGTGATTGTTGGACGGTTTCCCGCGTGTCTCCGCGTTTGTGGAGTATTAGACGATTATTGCCGGAGGAGCTAAGGAGAACTGGGGTCCACGGTGGTTGACGAGCGTTGGCTTTTTTGCCTTTGAGTAAACAGGTTCTCTATTAACATCCACAGAATATCACAGCGGCGCAGGAAAGAGAGGCTAAAGGAAGCGCAAGAAGAGGCATGCCGGCAATTTTTGAATGCAGTCAGCAAGGCCACATGAAAGGAAAATATAACTGGAAGAAAATAAAATAAATATATATCACGCATTAAATTTCCGAATTGATTATCTGCGCCTTCTCATCTCTTTTTAGTTAATTTTTTATATTTTTATTTTGGCTTCGCGCACAAGGATGAAGGAGTAAGTGCCTGATTGGCCTGTCGCGAGGTGTTACGCGCCTTTCCCGTTCTTTTCAGCTTCCGTTTTCTTTTGCCGCTGTACGTTGGTTTGTCAGATTGTGGCCTGGGAGGGCCTGAAGAATCAACCCATCGTGGAGAGAAAGATAGGTCGGGTCGGAATGTTGCGCAGAAGCCCTGGAGAAAGGTCCTGTCAATGCTGTTATACGTTCGTGGGTATCATCGTAGTTCTTTATCAGCTACGCCGCGACCGCATGTTGTTCGCGGGGAAGACCAGTTGATCTTTGGATCCCAGCCAAGGGAGGAGAAAATTGATGATAGTGTTGACAAGCGGATTCATTAGTTTGGCTGTGAGGTGCTAGCATTAATTTCTGCGCTGACAGCAGTTTCGAGATGCTTCTGTTGAACGATCAACAGGAGAAAACAAGTCCATGCAAGTACAGGGGAAATATATCCTCGCACGCATTAGCTTATTTCCCACCAAGGCAGAGGACATCAGCCGTCAGGACAGCCCACAGCCGCGTCCTTGATCAACCAAAACTGGAGGATAGCGCGGTTCGCTAAGCAGGCCTTGCGATGCCTGATTCCCTTTTCACGCTGGCTGACATTTCTGCATACAGCGTCAGCATTGAACCAAGAATTGGCCATATTTTAAAGGCAACCCATTTTTAAAACCAATACCGGGCTATGTCAATGTTGAGGGCAAATTTCAACCGGCTAGCTGCTCCTATGAAAGTGAAAAACGGCCACCAGGGGTTTAGCAGGTAAAGTTTGCAATTTCAAGAAGCAACCTGAAAAATCAAGTCTTTGGCAAGTTAAAAATAGTGAACTTTTGCGGGCGCCTGACTCTTTCGTATCGAAGCTCGCTCTGGTTGTATTTACCGCTGGACACCTTTGGTCCCAGTTGCGATGGGGAGGTGAGAAACCTCCCTCCTCTCCTCCCGTTCCGACGTCCGCGACCGAAACCATCTACCCCCTCTTTGCTTATGGTAACGAGAGGAACTCTCTGCTGCGTGGCATACACCCAAACCGGGATCCACATCCTTTTGCCCTAGATTCTGGATGCGACGAAAAGTGGCGCTGACAGCATCGCATTCTAGCAATTTTCGTTCCAGATCCTGAGTGACTTGGGTTCCCGTATTATATGGACTTAACGCCAACATGAAGCTTTGAGTACGAGAGGTTTGAGTTCCGGAGAGTCGGAATCGTCTAAAGACATACTTGTTACTGTTGGATTCAGCATTAATCACATATTTGACCCCCAACCACATTTGTCTCATTCTATCTTAAATGATTCCACTAATTTTTTTTCTTTTTGTTGCCCAATGGGTTGTGTTCGCTCTTACAGTTTCACCTGCTTTCATAGTTCGGGAGGTTGTTGCTTTATGGCTCTGGTTTTCTGTATCCATTTCAAATTTCCTATCCGCCCCCTACACTTTCTAATATGGCATCATACATGAGTTCTCGACAGCGGCTCAAATTTTCATTTAAATATGAGCCCTCCCCCACCCCCCAACATTCACGGAAGAATATCTTCCCTCAAGCAGGATGTTCCTCCTCCAACAGCTTCCCCGCAACCTCCAACGGCGCACACGGTTGGATAAACCCAAGTATGGTAACCGGCTCCGTGGAACTAGCATTCCTCCACTTGTGCATCGTGGCCCTCTGCACAAAAACATCTCCTCTGTTCAAGAGTCTGGACTCGCCGGAATCCAGCACTAACTCGACACTTCCATCAACTATGACACCAATGTCGATGCTCATGGTGCGATACATCGGAGAGGTCCAGCCTGGTTTCAGGGCCACGCGCCTCATCACAGTGCCATTTTCAAGGACGATTCCCGGCGGAGTCGCCAGGTGCTTCTTGTAGATTTCGATATCTCTGTTGTCGGAGAGGGATGTTGGGAAGCCTTCAGTTGCGTAATCGACTGTGAGGGTAGCCTGCCCGCCAGGGAATTCTATTTCAGGGACTGTGGTGGGAATGGTGGTGTCAAACACTGAGGCACCCGTGGAGTTGTGGGTGGTAATGTAGCGCTGTGCTGGCTGGGTTGACATTTTGGATCTATCTATCTATCTATCTATCTATCTATCTATCTTTCTTTCTTTCTTTCTTTTCTTTTGCTTTTGTCGTGTCCGATTCTTTGTCCGATGGGTGATACACCGGTTATGGGTAGTTGAAGTTGTTGAATGCCAAGTGTGGTTATTGCATGGGAAGTCCATGGATTTATAGCAGATTTGCAACCCATGCCGACCCCTCTTCCGGAGATAAATATCTCTGCCATCCAGGATCATTCAGCTATGATTCTGCGCTAGGCGCACCCTGTCAGGTCAGCTTGAATAACCGGGTGAGGGATTATCAATGATGCTGTTGAGTTGTAAATTGTAAATAACCATGAGCTCCTGAAATACCTCAATTTGCGAAAAGTTTCAAACTGTTGGTGCTGCACTGTTAATGGAGGTATTATCTCCGGAGAGCGCCATTTCGGGGCTTCCTCCTGGGTGATTCTAAATTTGTAAATTCTCTCCGAGCTCCTCTCTTTTACACAATCCATGTTGGAAGTTGGTGTATTTTAAGAATGAAGCTTTGTGAGATTGTCTTGGCGCTGATGTCAACGGCGACAAAACCAAATAAAACCAAATAAAAGAAAATAAAAAAACATCCGCAGCTCAACGCGTGTCCTTAAGCCACGGCAACGTGGCATTTTTGATCTCAGCATATATGTCCTTTGACCACATATTACCATAAGACTAAAAGCGGTATGCCCTGGGCTACAATGTCGATTCAGTTGTAAATACGCATACTTCCCCTTGACCTCTTGACCACGATGCCCAAGGTTCAGACCTACAAAGAACGAAAGGAGGCCTTCGTGTCCAACCTTTCCGGCGGAGATATACTGGAGATTAATGCTGTGACTCTGGTCGCATCGGTAAGTCCGGATTGATTAAGATACCTCAGATCTCGGAACTAATATACAGTGTTCTCCTCCCCAGTCCGCGGGGCTGCTTTGGTCTGTCCTCCAATCCCGCAAGTCCTTTTTCACGCCCTCTGTGCCGGCCTCCGTAGTGGTAGACTTCCTCCTTAATGTCGCCGCAATCCTCTTCGCAACAACTCTATACTCATCAGTTCCTCTCCTCCTCAACGTCTTCCTCATCTCCCCTGCAATTTTGATATTGTTCGGCTCCAAAAAATATCAACCGACGCAGAAAGCCAAGCCTCCACCACCCGTAGGCCTGAAATCTTCGGCTGCTGATGGGGGAGATGCGAAATCATCTTCATATAGACTCGAGGATATCCCTCTCCGACCATTCCTTACTACGTACCGCGGCGCGATGATGATAGCAACATGCATGGCCATCCTTGCCGTTGACTTTCGCATATTTCCCCGGCGATTCGCAAAGGTCGAGAACTGGGGCACGTCTCTTATGGATCTGGGAGTGGGATCATTTGTCTTTTCTGGGGGTGTGGTGTCTGCGCGATCTATCTTACGAGAACGGAGTTCCTCCTTGCGATTCAGATCGCTGCCCAAGAGGCTCATGACCTCAGTCCGCCACATGATCCCACTTTTCGTCCTCGGTCTGGTTCGACTTTACAGCGTAAAGGGGCTGAATTATGCGGAACACATCACGGAATATGGCGTGCATTGGAACTTTTTCTTTACATTGGCATTTCTGAATCCATTTGTGGAGATCTTCCATTCGCTAACGTCTATTATTCCGTCATATGAAGCGTTATCATTTCTCATAGCCATTGGATACCAGGTTTTGCTTGAGTCGACGGATTTGAAGAAATATATTCTAATATCGCCCCGAGGCCCGTCCCTCCTTTCAAAAAATCGCGAGGGGGTATTCTCTCTTCTCGGATACCTAGCTATCTTCCTCGCGGGACGCGCCACAGGTTTAAAAATCATGCCCCGTGAAACATCCCCTTCCAAGACTCCATACAAGGCGCGAAAAGCGCTTCTTATCCGTCTAGCAATTACGTCCATTATTACGACCGTGCTCTTCGTATTTAACTCCTTCCATGTATTCGGTTTTGGAGCGGGCATTCCCGTTTCCAGGCGGCTAGCGAACATGCCTTATATACTCTGGGTTATAGCATTTAACAACGCACAACTCTTCATTTTCTGTGTTTTTGAAACTTTGTTTTTCCCGTCTGTGTATCAGGCGACTGACAAAGCGAGCGAGGATGAACGGTGTCGTTTTGCAACGAGCACCATCATGCGTGCGTTTAATCGCAATGGGTTGCCAATTTTCCTAATTGCAAATCTCCTTACTGGTGCGGTGAATATGGGGATGAATACCTTGGATGCGAACAAGGCTGCGTCGATGGCCGTCTTAGTCGCCTACGCGGCGATCTTGACAGGGATTGCGCTGGCTATGGATAGGTGGAATTTCAAGTCGAGATTGTGAAGGGAGAATGTTGGCATGACATATATTCAATTGTATTATCCTCCGTCTTTTGTTGCACAATTAGCGCGATTTCATTAGTGTATATTATACGTGATATTATTGGCTAAATGGTGTAATATTGCGTACTCTTTGGTATTGGTGTATTATAATAAGCTAAGCCTAATTACGTTATATAGATTCTTCAGCTCTGGCCAATGCCATGGAATTCCTCCCAGCATCTAGTTTTCAAGCAAAGAGCCACATTCTTACATGCTGAGCATCCAGATCTTGATCTAGGAGCTTGTCTACTCTCCTGCTGACCTAGCTTTCGCATATATCAACACCAGACACAAATTGTAGGCTTTGGTAGAGAAATTTGTTGATGAATAAGCTCTGAATTTGATCGCTCATGGGGTAGATCATCATGGATCTTCAAATTGAATTCAAAGAGTTGCTGATAGAGCTTCTCACAGAAGCTTATATGAGTAGGTAGCCTAGAGACTCCCTGCTGCTTCATATATATATACTGAAGCCTCCACGCGTTGACAACAGCAGCATCCAGAATCCAATAGAAAATAGGCAACCAGGTCCGATAGCTCACTCTATGAGAGCTATAGGAAGCTCTATACTGATTTGCTAGGTCTCCTCCATTCATATTATGATTATAGTCATCAATAATCTTTGGAATCTGAAGGTTCTTCCTAGGTTGATTCTCAAAGACTGGGTGGACTATATGAGCATTGGTAGAGAGTTCTCCAGGCCGTCTTCAAAATTGTTCAATGAAGGTGTCCAAAGAATGAATAGTAGTAAGAGCTAATACCATATTATTGTCTTGCCAGGCTAGACAGAGGACCTTATTCACTTCCATAGCATGTAGAGTATTCCATAGAATACTCTTTTGAATGCTCTCAAAGCTCTGCTAGAATAGGGAGAACCTGATTAGAGCAGGTAGTCCCACAAGCTCCATAGCCATGCTCTCAAAGTAGGTGGAATAATTGAACAGAGGTAGAGTAGTTGTCTAGGTAAATTGAGTATGGAGTGACTTGTTGATTAGCTGACTCTTCAGCAGAAGGCCTAGTAGGAGCTTCACTAGTAGGGAGAGCTTTGATGATAGAAGCTTCAATGATAGGAGTCTCAGTAGGAGGTCTAGTATTTGATTCCTCAGTAGGAGGTCTAGTATTTGATTCCTCAGTAGGGGGTCTAGTATTCGATTCCTCAGTAGGGGATCTAGTATCCGATTCCTCAGTAGGTCTAATAATAGGGATCTTAGGAAGCCGCTGAATCATATTCATGACCATGGATCCAGTTCTGGTAATTTCTGGAAATTGAAACATAGGCATTATGCTCTGCCGGCGGCTAGACCAGGAAAATGTCCAAAGATATCCATGTTCTGCTAGTCCAAAGATCTTATATCCCTGAGGAATTGGCTTAGCAGGCATCTTATATGTGTGCTGTCTTCAACCAAAGCATCTAATCATGATTTCATCAATGGAAATCTCTGAGCCAGGGATGTAATATTTCCGGCAGGCATTATGGAAGTTAGAAGCCAAAGGCTCTATCTTATACCACCAATCTTTATTCTTAGAATCTGGCTGGCGAGCTTCTCGAGGGTTGGATGTATGGAAATAGCGCTTGATTTGCTCAAAACATTTCAAGGTCATATAGGATTGAACTGAATGAATAGGACCTTCTCTCAGATTATTCTCTCAATAATGATCAGTCCAGCTGGATTTATGAATCCCCATATAGATAAGAGCTCCTAAAAGACCTTTATTTCCTCTGAAGTGGTCTTTTCCAATGGATGTTGCTGAATAGAGGTCTTCAATTCCTTAGATGTTTCCATAAATATAGAGGGTTCTGCAGAAGCTTCCATAGGGATTTCCTCTTCCTTATCCTTCTTCTTATCCTTCCCAAAGCTCTCTGGAGCTTCATTATCAGTATCTCCATCATCTCCCTTCAATTTTGCATAGAGATTGGTTGAATTGACAATATTATGAATGGAATCTTCAGAGAAGAATAAGGTAAATAAGACATAGGGGCTTTGAACATCAATATCTGGTGGAATATGAAGATTTGACAGCTGTGAACTAGGTTCTAGAGGAAGAAATTTAACTGATTCTAGAGGTGGTATCTCTGCAATGACTTTCTCAATTGCTCATTTTCACTTTGTAGAGGTTCTACCTGGCTTTTTCATAGATTCTAGAGAATATATTGGTTATTTGATGCATAGATTAAGATCAGGATTCTAGAAAATCACCTGAATTCCCTGTAGGTTCCATATTTGCAGGTGGATAGGGCTCCATGGTAGGCATGTAGGTAGATCTGAATTCTCAACACACTTTCTGCTTACATGAAAATTGCGAGAGTGTGGATCTGTAGTGACCAATAGCAGCCCATACAAAATAGTGCGTGAACCTATTGGTTGAGACATGCTGACAAATGCCTTTATTTTACGCCTAGTGATACCACGCTAATTGTGCAACAAAAGAGACGGACGAGGGGATAATATGGATAACTAACTAGTTATATGTCATTATACTACTTCAATTCTATCATGCGAAAACCCCTGATTCTATCCCTGATCAAAACCCGGAGAGTCCGAGCGAGCCGCTAATATTTCCCACCTTTAAACATTGTGAGCATAACATATCCATGGATCTCTATTATTCTCGAGTGTGTCTGGAACAGAGTTTAAAGGCGGCGGTCTCGCCTCATAACAGTACCTTGGTAGCCAACTTGTTAATTGTTTCCTGAATCCATCGCAAGCCACTTTCACGTGGACGCGCCAAAAAGGTGGACGACATCCATCCATGGACAACAACCTCTGAGAAGCATCAATAACGTACATATATATATATATATATATGCATCTTGCCGATCAGTCCACCAAAGACAAGATCGACAATCCCGCAAACATGACTGGAGCATCGGAGACTCACCGTCGGTTCTACAACTACCCAATACCGCGCAAAGGCCCTAATGTGCCCTTCAACTATCTACCTTCATCCAACCCGCTCATTCGTGGCCGGGTGCTGGAAATAGCAGCTTCAGTGTCAGTAATATCGTTCCCCATTTCTGAAAAACTTTCCTACCTTCATTGTCCTACTCTCTCGTAGATACCAGCTACGGAGAAGAATATTAAGGCCCAGTGAGAAAGCCAATTCTCGTTGCTTAGTTTCCCCGCATAGGCTCCCATATTTTGGCTTCATCCAGAGCGCTCTCTGGCGAATTGCCGGATTCGACGTCGTCCGCAACGTCCCTGGTTTGAATGACTATCAACCCCGATATGACCCTACCGTCACGCCTATTGCCAACCCCTCTGAGGCCAAACATTCGAGTTTGCCCTCCCCAAGTCAGCGACGCGATGGCCTGGGGTATTATACCTCCGCAGATTACCATGCGCTGTATTTGTCAGGCGAACTCACTCCAACTGCGGTCGTAGAAGCTCTTTTACCCCTCATCCGTCGTGATACAAACCCTTGCGGCGAGTACTCGATTGGCTTTCTTGAAACCAAGGCCGATATTGCTCGCGCTGCCGCCGCTGCTTCAACGGAGCGGTATAAAAATGGAAATCCATTGGGTCCTTTGGATGGGGTTCCTGTTGCAGTTAAAGACGAAGTTGATATTGAGGGATATAAGCGGACGTTGGGAAGCAAGTTGGATTTCACCGGAGCGGAGAATCGAACGGCCTGGTGCGTTAAGAAGTGGGAAGAGGCTGGTGCAGTTGTTATTGGGAAGACTTCCATGCATGAATTGGGACTTGGTGAGATACTATTACTTAAGTGAAATATTCTGTTCCGTCGAATTACGATGTTCCATAGCTAGAAGCAACTTTTTGCGTTTTCCAAGTGCTAACTAGCTGAAACCTCTCGCAGACACCACAAACAACAACCCTAATGTTGGGACACCGAGAAATCCTCACCATGAAGACTACTACACCGGCGGATCTTCGGGAGGCTCGGGATATGCTGTTGGGGTCGGTCTTGTACCCATCGCACTGGGTGCAGACGGTGGTGGCTCAATCCGCATCCCGGCCTCCTTTTGCGGCATCTACGGCCTTAAACCTTCCCATGGCCGAGTTTCCGGGCATCCAACAGTTGGCATAGCTTCAACGACCGGTGTTATTGGCCCTATGGCATCTAATCTTGACGACCTGGCCTTATCATACCGCATCATGGCTGCCCCAGATCCTAGCTCAATGACATCTAGTTCCTTCCCTGATCCCCTTACCACCATTCCATCCAGTCAATCATTATCATCTCGGCCCAAAGTAATCGGCGTATTCCCCGACTGGGTTAACCGCGCCGATCCCGCCGTCCTCGCCCTTTTCAACAAGGCCATCGACTACTATCGCAATAACCAAGGCTACACCGTAGTCGATATATCTATTCCACTGCTCCCTGAAGGCCAGAAAGCTCACGCTCTGACAATCCTAGCCGAAATTGAATCCCACCTCTCACTGGACCAGATCAGCAAGCTCACCCCAGCCAACAGAATCATTATGGCAGTCGGTGGCAACCCAACCAGAGCCCGGGATTTTCTCGCAGCCCAAAAGCTTCGCAATCTTCTCATGTCGCATCTTGCGTTTCTATTCCAGCAACACCCGGGACTAATCATCGCTACCCCTACCACGCCCCTCCCCGGTTGGAAAATACTTAAAGGCAACGCTGACCTCGCTAGAGGTGTGAGTGATGTGGATTCCAGCACACGCTCAATGGAGTATGTCTTCTTGGCTAACTTCACGGGCTGTCCCTCCATTTCGCGTCCCATGGGACTTGTAGACGGACCCAATGTACCCGCCGGCCTCATGGGGATGAGTGACTGGGGAAGCGAAGAGATGCTGATTGAATGGGCGAGAGATGGGGAGGGGATGCTAGGTTTTGATGCTGCTGCTACAGATACGAGCACGGCTGCTACACCTAAGGGAGGATTGAAGGCCCCGGACACGACAAATGGTGGTAAGTGGGTTGATGTTATTGGGAAGGTCCGAGATTCTGGGGTGTGAAACGGCGAATCTGTTTTCTCGAGGTTATTTTCTGTTTCTAATTATTTTTATTTTTAATTTTTATTTATTTGTTATTTATTTTGTTCTTCTGTGATTACTTCCCACACAAGATACAAACTCGTAAGTGATACCGTGGGGATATGCGCTGGAGCTGATTGCGTTATGAATGTGTCATTGGATGCTCTATGCCTCAATTTCTTTTGTTCTTCTTCTTTTTTTTTTCCATTTCTTTTTCTTTTTCTTTTTTTTTTTTGTTAGCGGTCTCCCTCACTTTCTTCAAACACCAAACACAAAGTGTCAATATGATGCCAACTATATCAAATTTAAGAAAATTCGTGCCAATTCAATTTTCTAAGCATCTTTGTGCACTAAATGACGAGGAACAAAGCGAGGGTTCCGCTGAAAATGCTGTGAAATCCCAAGTTAAAACAATATATAATGTTCTATTATGTTGTTTCAAGCGTAATGAACAGTAGACAACCCCAGTGTTCTATGTATCCTGGCACATTCTTGTGCGTGTCAGAGGGAGCTGCAAACCAACTATATATTGGATAGGAGTTTTTCAAGATAGATTTGGTTTGATCTTCATTGCCCCTAAGAGGGCCAAAGCAGGTGAAGGCGCCGGCCGGCTACCTGGATAAGCAAGACGTAGGGGGGTGGCAAGAACCAGTTCAACAAAGATAGGCAGTTTCTGGATGAGATCGCATTGTCTTTAGCATAGATCCCGATTAAATTATCTGTTACGCAAATGAGGATAAAAAGCGTCGCCCGCTCATATTTCGATTCGGTCATCATCAGTGACATAACCGCTCAAAGAAGTCATATTACTGCACCAAAGGCGGCGCAAAAATCAGAGGTATTATGACATTCAAACCATTATGAATAGAATAAGCCACAATAACAATTAGGTCAGAACCCACGAGGGCAAGAGACAAGCATAGCGAACCACACCAACAGCCAACATGCTGACAGGCAGCATGGAAGGTCGATGAGCGAAAATATCTCCAGTAGTTACACCGCAAGCAGAGCCTTGGATAAACAGTCAGCCGAACACAGATAGCTCAAATGCGGCACCAAGGAATTGTAAAACCAGGTTCTCAAGAGCAATGGGAAAACCGCGTCCGCTTTCGGGACGGCTCTGGACGCACATATGCAGGATCCAGTGCGTGGTGACAAATTGCCAAAGGTCGCTACAGAGGAAACAATCTCAGCACAGAGCGCCCAGAGGCATCAAGAGCTAGTTAACGGAAGTCTTCTCATCAAAACCCAACCTGGGTTGCAACGTTAGCATGGCCCTCCCCGCGATCTCATTCCTAGGGAGCTTTTGGAGCAATAGAGGCACGGTAGAACGTGGCCACGGCTCTCCGTTTTCTGAGCAGCAGGGAATCAATAGTTAACTACGTATGAGATCACTCATGGGTAGTTAATTTACAAATGGAGTATCGATAGGCACCAACGAAAACCAGCAATCCGGCTCTCCTGATGAACAGCAGAGTGAAAGAGGGAGGGCCCGTGGTTAAGATAGTATTCAAGGATCCAGGAAGTCATCTGAGTGTGTAGTAATGCGAAGGGGGCGGATCCCGTGAAAAGGGTGGTTGGTTGTCAATGATTTTTTTTAAGTCTGGTGTTTATGCTATTCGAACCATTCTCGGTAGGACTCTTTTCACAGTTGAAGATATCATGATCTGGTTAACAGTAGTCAGCATATTTAGTTTCGAGTTTACGAAAGGATTTATTGCTTATGAGCAGAATTGAGATAGCTTCTTTTGGCAGGTTGTTCTTATCTGCAATCTTCTGCAAAGATTTCACGCTCATTTGGAGTAATTCGTGCGCCCAAGTACCAGGTCTAAAGCTCTCGTCACAGTTTTGGCCCGAGAGAAATGCGATCCATTGTGGTACCATGTCCATCCTCTTCGAGTAATCCCGCAAATTGCTAACAGCATGCCTTTTGGCAGGGCATACATACCCCAGAAATGCATTTAATGCCATTGATGGAAGCGAGTGACGGAGGCAGGAAGGAGGCTTTGGAGTAGAGAGCGCATCCATCCAAAATCGATGCCACAATCTTTGCCAACATGTCAGCCATCATGGAGCGATTGTTAAGTAAAATCATGAAAGAAGCGGTTCGAATGCGGTCTCTCAACGAGGGAGAGCACGATTCTTGTCATACCTTGATAACGTTGTATGAGGCATAATGAATGGATTAAAAAAGAAGAGCATATGAGCATCATCAGAATCCGCCCTCGGTAAAAATGAAACTACGACCCCACACCAAAGATTATATCCCCGCGGGAAAAGAAGAAATTTCCAAATGGTTTCGTATCTTCAGCGTAAAACCAGAAAGCAACACAGAGACCGGAAAATACTCCGCACCAATTTCATAATACATAAACCGGGAGGAACCAACAGGGTTAAAATAAGCAGAGAAGAAATGAACACATCCCTGGATATCAAATCAACCCATCCAAAGTCCAATTTTCGCAAGTATAACAAACCGATAAGACAACGTGAAAAAAGAAAATCCCAAATCAAACAAAAAAAGCCTCCCCAGACATCGGAGCAAAAAATTCACATCCCAACCCTGCATCCTCATTATACGCCCGTAGCTCTTCCAATATCTGCTGTCGCGGATGAGTTCCATCAGTCAACGAATCCTTGACATGGATAATATAAACTCCAAGACCAGATAGGGGTTTCTGCACCGACCAACTCGACCTTCTGCATTTCACGGACTCGCCCACTGAGCTTGTCTCCGGCGTAACCCTATCATCATCCATAGGAGACCCGGATGGCGGCGGTGTGGTGGATTGTCCGTGGGCCGTCTTGTGTGCTGTTAGGGGCAGCGGCTGATCACCGGAACTGGATTGTCGAGTCCTCCTTCTCGAGCATGAGGTGGGGGAACTCGTTCGTCGTCGACCTTGAGAGAAGGGGTTGACGGTTTTAGGGCTGCTGGGGTCATCATCGGGGACCACAACGGAGCCCGGCCGCTTGCGCTTCCGCGCCACGACGGTTTCGTAATTGGATTTTGTTGCCTCTATGACTCTGCTGGCTAGCGCCTCGAGCTCTGCGATGAGGTGGCGCGGGCACAAGTGACCGTATAGATAGTTGTCATCGATGGAGTCCGGAAACGAGCATTCGACAAAGATAGCCCGAAGTGTTCCGTTGGCGAGCTTGGGAGCGGCGATATCCCATACCTTACCATTGCGGGGTTCGAGGGATAGGCTGTCTGGTTCGATGTCGCCAAATACGATGATTTCGGTACCGGAGTAGTCGTCGCGGAGGAAGTAGGCGGAGCTTTCGACGGTAGCTAGGGTCATATCTTTGCCGTTGGAGTTACCACTGCTGAGAACTTGATGGGTTGGGGTATATGATCGCCTTTAAAACGGGATGGTTTAGCATATGATTTCGCGTTACGAGACAGAAAACGCAGTGATTAGGGAACTTACGTGAGGTCTTGCGTGTCTATCGATACTCTCCTGGAAGGAAGCAATACAGGGTCTGTAGTGAATATCGTACTCTCAGCTCGATGGTGTTTGCCAGTTTCCGGATGATACCGTTGCCTGCAACGACCGTGACTGACGCTCAAACACTTGGTAACTATCCCTTCACAAGCCCGGACATAGCCACGGCCGTCTCCACGGCCCAGCCGTGGGTTTCCCCCGTCAACGAGTCGCTGGTAAGTGACCAGGCCAGCACCGCCATCCTCATCCGACAGGTTTGGCCAGGTAATATCATTGAAAATGTGATTCTTGATAGCAGCAATGGTGGACGGGAGGGCACCGACTATTTTGGGATTCGATTGGGCCTCCACTAGCGGGGTATTCATGGCTAGGCCGGCGATATGGTCCAGATGCGGATGTGTGATGAAAATGGACGAAATGATTTCGCGAAATATATAGGCTGCATTGGCTCCGGCGGTAAGGCTGGGAAGTCTGAGACCCGCAAAAGGCCCATCTATAATGCGCATTTTAACATCTGTTGATCCTTCAACTTTGACGGAATCGGAGGTCTCGAGCACTCGGATTATGCCCCCCAGCAGAGTGCCTGCATCTATGGCGATAACGGAGCCCGCAGACCAGTTCGTAGCGGTCGAACGAACTAACAACCCTGTGATTATGTCTTCTCGCGGTCCGCCTGTAGCACCCTGTAAATACATATACAATCAGTATTAATTCGCAAATGCCCATCCAACCAACGAAGAATAAAAGTAACAGCAGAGTAAACATAGAAAACCTACCAGAACAATGACATGAAACGCGCCTTTCTGCCTGTCCTCCACACTCCTTGACCGTCTCGTCCTCCGTCCCCGACCGCCATCACGATGCATTGCACGGGATTGGCTTTTCCTACAAGAACCGCGAACTTCGGGGAATCATACAAACATTTAAAGTCCCTCTCCTCCAAAATGCAAATTGCAGAGCCCCCACCTATCACTGCCACCAGAGAGACCGAGAGAGATAATCAGGCTGCACAACGGCGTAAAAATAAAACTCTTCCCTGAAAGTAGCCTTCGAGGAGGTATCTGAATGCTTTCCAAGGGGCTAACAAGACCCCCCTCCTTCCCCCCTCCCAAATATCCTACTTTTCACGTTTTCGCGGGAGGAGGATTTCTAAGATCTTCTTCCAATGTAAACGTTGTCACCGGTGATATTCACCTCACTTCCTCCCGTCCAACCCTTCAGAGACGATATCGACAAGATGTGATGGGATGCAGGGTGCGAGAACAAGTGTGTTGCCGTCGCTCGCCACACCTCTCGCAGACCATGTAGTTATCCTTGCCAGCTTTGGTGCAAGCAAGGATATTATAAAGACGAGAGGGGAAATGCGCGGGGGCTATTCGTTGCTTCTGTTCCTTTTATATATATTCCCCGCCGACTCGCGATGTTGACGACGAGGGCTCAGAATTGGAACGAACGGGCAGACCGTAAGGGAGTTCGCCGTCTTCGTCTCGTCTCGTCTCGTATCGTTTGGTCGGGCCCGTCGTCTGGTACTCCGGGATTTAGTTTAACTAATAACCTAGTTATTCAAAAGTTTAGGGCTATGTTTCTCCGACTTCCGCACAGATCTTGCCAATCGCAGTTTATCTAGTTATTTCCTGCGGTGCGGAATATTTCGCGGTGAGATTGCTTTGTTATATATATGCATGAAATGAAACTTGTTCGATACCTCCCAAGGCTTGCCGCTCGAGCCCTGGACGTTGATTAGGCCTTGTTCCTAGCAAAGTTCGGATAGCTTTACCTCATGGGGCAAGTTGTAACGGAGTATTCGCGGACAATTCAGCGTTTTGCGTTCAAATTTTGACCATGACGAATTTAATGACTTCTTCTTTACCTCTGATTGGATTGGAGGAATCAACCTTGAAAACATGCGCAATGCCGGGCTTTGAGAGAAATGGGAGACCAGGCGCAGGGACTAAGGAGATTTTATATCCATGGACATCCCCATTATCATTTCTAAAACCAACAGAGGGGGGAAACGCAAGATTTGGAAGACTTGGAATTGATACGTATTTTTTTCTTCCTAGTTGTTGTCTCTGCCACTTGCGCTCGAATTGCAGCTTGCCAACTAACTTTTTGTCCTTGTAAGGCGTAGGCAGGATTGGATCTTGTCGATCTCTGGATATCGCCGTGTAGATTCGCCAAAGTTCAAGTATTAGACTGCGATCGAGGCCTTTTATCCACGCTTCCTTTCTGCTTGACTAGTTGATGACACGCTTAATAAAAATCCCTCCTGCAGAGGCGGGTAAGAGAGAGCAAAAATGCGCGAAGCAGAAGATCCAATCATCGGTTGGAACATAACTATCCCGGGCTATTATTAACGAGTGTAGCTCTTCTGTCCACTCGCATTTTTTTTTTGCCCATCAGGCTTGCCATGCTGCCAGGCGACTAGGTTCCAAAAGCCCTAAGAAAAATGGAATCCCACAGAGCTGGCCGAGATGTATTTATTTCGTATTAACTAACTAGTGGCTAGAGGCTTCGATTTGCCTTTTTTGCAGTTACATACTGTCCTTCCTGTATGTAGATAACGCACCAGCCTAGTTACATGGATAAGTAGCTATTAACTTAAGGAGAGACTGCATGCGCACATGAATGAGAATATTGGAAGTGATCACTACGCAATAGCTAAGCGTCGGCGATGGGGTTGGTTGCATGTGTCGGTGGAGATAAGGGCCGCTACTGGCTGGGCCCTGTTAGGCTGAATTCAAACAAACCGCATAAACTACGTATTCGTTTCTCTTCTTAGAAATAAGCACTTCCGGGTGGTTGATCGTTGGGTTCTGGAAGGTTGGAAGGTTGAGGGGTATTTTTGTGATGATGCGCCCGCTAGGGATGCGATGCGGGATATGTAGGGATGGGATTATACGACGATGCGATGGATGTAAGCAACGTGGATAGAGGGTATAATTTGGGAGGGAATTAATGTAATGGATGCTTTCATTGGGGAAACGGGCCGGAGATACCCTTTTCTTGTGCCAACGTAGGGATGCGAGAGAGGACGAATATATCACATTTCTACATTTACAAACATGACCATCTGGGCCCTTGACGGCTCGTTTCAATGTGTGTACAAAATCTCCTTGTTGATCAAACGTGACAAAAAAATGAACGGAACAGAAAATCGAAAGGAGCTGTTGTGGTATATGTATGATGCTACATATAAACGAACAATGCATAAAGTTAAGAGAACTTTGTACAGAATTGACTGGTTTGCGTCCGGCAAAGGAAAAAAAGTTACCATCCACCTGTTAGCCACATACTCTTGGTTTTTGATTCCACCCATCCACCCACCCATCCACCCATCCACCCATCCATATCCATGCCACTCCAAATCCTATATGTAGCTCATGATTTTTCGTAATAAAAAGAATAGAGGGAAACGAACATATTGCAAGAAGCCAAGCGCATTCCTCCCACTTTGATTACTCCTTGGCGATGTTATTTATTAGGAGATGAAACCTCGATCACTCACGTATCCCACGCTGAATTCAACAGAGAGGAAAAGGCTAACGATGAATAGCAAGGAGCTTGGACGATAGGGAAATATAGGCGTATAAGAGGGGTTGTTTGCGGTTGTTCAGCCGGGCCGCCGTCAACTAGCAAAGGAAAAGAAAAAAAAAAACAATCGTCAAACGCCTCCCAAACCGTGATCGCTAAAGTGACAAAAAAGAATAAAGTAGAGAAGGAAAACAGGGCCAATGAAAATGCGTTCGTCCGAAGTATGACGAGGAAAGGGCCGTGAGAATGCTGAGAGGTAAATAAAGATATTGGAGACGGAAGACAGGGAGAGGTAGTTGGCAGAGGTGGTGGGTGTACTTCTTTGGCAGGATATCTTTATCAATGACCCTGCATTGGAACCCCATCATTCCTCATGGCTGCATCGTAACTTGGGATCGGTGGACTTCTGGAGTTGGGTGGAGGAATTGACGGGGTTGGTTGCTCGCCGTGGTCGCTGTGGGGTGGACTATGTAGCGGGCTAGAATATTCCGGAGGTGGAACCACCGCATTCCCATCAGTGGATGGTGGAAGTGTTCCACCATCCTGCTCATGTGCCACATTTGGTAAATTTGGCACACCACTCGACCCTTCCCCAACATCTGACTGAGATGGTATGTGCGCAAGTTGAGCGAGAGAAATGTCCGTGGGCGATTGAGCGGGACCGGGACTCATGGGGTATGTCATCCTGATTGTCCCGCTACGTGTTCGTGATTGTCCCGTCTCGTGCTGCCACCACTGGGTGGGATGGTGGCCTTCACGGCCAGTCTCGAGAAGGATGCTGCCCTGCTCACTTCCGTACGGTGGCGGAGGAGCAAGGGAACCCGTCATCGGTGCGAGACCCCATTTTTTGACATTGGCTTCGATGAAGACGAAACCCATCTGGCCAAAGTTCACATGCACTGTGCAGGGGCCATTGGCTCCGACGGTGGGGAAGAAGTTTTGAGATTTTAGTCCATGGACAGCGTCATCGAGTTTCTTCCCGTTGCGGGTGAAGAAGATGGTCCCGGTGCGCGGGCGATAGCCCACACCAATTACATCCCCTTGAACGTATTCGGGCCCGTAACCGGCAGGGGTAAAAGGTTGATTGTAGCGGCGATGTCCTGTAGATAAGTAGGCGACGGATGTCTTATGAAAGCCTATTAATACGTAGGTGCGTTAGCCAAAAATAAATTTACCATAGTCCCCAGAAACCGAAATCGTACCAGGTAGACGGAATAGAGGGTATGGCTTTGTCGTCATGCCAATGCTAATAAGGCTAGTTTCTGGTTTGTCGTATATCTTAGCTTCCCAATAGTAGACCTCGTTCTGCTTGGGAACGGGCAGGTTGCTTTGGACACTACATTCGGAATCAAAGAACTCGATTTCGGTCCGAGCCTCAACAAAGCAGTTAGCAATCTCGAGTTCCGGTTCAAATTCCCATGCAGAAACACCCTTTTCTTGGATGGCTAAGAATTGCGAAAGTGATATATCGGTTTGCATCGTCTCGGGTGGGTTTGCTTGAATGAAGGCTAGAAATATGGTATCACACGTCAGATTTAAAGGTCCAATTTTCTGAAACGAAAGAGAAAAAGGGAAGACAAGATTGGGAATATAGAGACACCATATCCCCCAAAACAATAGAAAAGAATGCGCACCTTTAGCCCTCAGATATTCCGCCTGCTGTAACTCATCCATCGACTCCAGCGCCTCAGCCTCCTCCTGTGCAAAGGCCTGTTCATCGTCATATTCACCAGGCCTCCCTATCCGGTCGAGAAGAACGCGCCCCTGTTGGGTATATCGGAAAAAGAAAAATATAGCAAGCACAGCGATTGCGACACTAGCGGAGCCGAAGGCAGAGAGAATCCCGATTAAGATACCCTTGCCGGTGGAACCGACATTCCCCCGGAACCCAACCATGACATCTCCGTGGTACCGCGCAGACGGGGCTATGTGGCTGTCTGAAAGTGACTGAGTAGTCGTATGGGTGGGTAGATGGTGTCCAGGGACGTCGAGTGATCAGGCGGTTTAACTGCAGAGAGAGGTGGTGAGTGTAGACTGTGGCAGGATGTCGCCCTCACGACTTGGCATCATTCATTGAAGAGGGACGAGGGGATGCCAATGCCGATCACGTACAGTGCTATTAGTGAAGACAGCAAATATAGTGCTGTCTGGATGACACGGGTAAGGGTACGCCAAACTAATAGGATTCAGATGGTGGAGAGACTGAAGAACAGGATTGAAGAAGAAGAAGAAGAAGAAGAAGAAGAAGAAGAAGCAGAAGGATGGAAGTTGAGGATGGGTTATGAGTTGCTGGTTGCTGGTTGCTGGTTGCTGGTTGCTGGGCTATGCTGGGCTGGAAGCCTCGGTGAGGGGCGAGTCTGACTAAGACCCACAAACGAACTCCTAAAATAACCACTGCTTGAGAGGATAGCGAATTCAATCTCCTTTTGCCTTTTGTTTATTTATTCTGTACGGAAGAGTTCCAGATGCTACCTTTCAGTTTCTCTGTTGTCTTCTGGATTTTTTAGTTAGTAAACAATGCAAAATTGAGTTGTTGCGAATGACCCTGCGAATTCAGAGCAATATACGAAGTGGTTACGGATGACTGGTTGACCGTTATATCCAACAGATAGTTGCTGATTCTGATTCTATTGCTTGTGGATGTTCGAGGTTTACGATCTCAATGCAAGACATCGTCGTTCAGGCATAACTCGGTTGTGTGGATGTTGTTTGAGGTTTGCTGATCCTCCAAAAAGCTGTGCTTATTTACCCCGTTTCAGGTCATTACATTGGTCAAATTACCCCCTTGACTAGATAACCGTCGCAATTCCCATCCCAATCCATATTTCTCCCTACAATTGTTCATACCCTGTGATGTTCACATAACATCTATGTGACTGAATATGTCGCATTATTTTCTTCCTACAGGTTGCTCCTTGGATTGACATCCCAGTGAATGAATAGAATATTCTTTTATGACTCTAAAATTGCAATGATCTCAGAATTATGATCGTCTTCATGAAAGAAGCCTTCACCACTATTTCTACTGTTTACAAAGCATTGCTTATGGCAATGTTCTAGGCCTGTAACAAATATTGTAATGTCACCTTTAGGTTGTGCTTCCAGAATCCCCCCAGATACCAAGTTTGACTTCCCATGCCGTCTTAAAAAAAGAAGAAAAAACAAAAAAAAAGAAAGAAAGAAAAAAGAAAAGAAAAGAAAAAAAAAACCCCGATGGTATGAATGTTTTTTGGCATAATTCCCTCATCGTGGGCTCCATTGCTGTATTGAAGTTTCTCGTCATCATCCAGGAAAAGCAGAAAATGTTTCTATTCAGGCTCCGGGTCTGTGGAACCATGCAAGGTGTAGACTACGCCCATGAGGAACCATCAAAACCATCACTATGAAATTTGATGAAACCAACCTGCGGAGGCTCAGTCTTGGTGTATGGTCCAATTCCACTGAATGAAGGCTACCGATCACATATATTCTGGGAATTAGACCCAGAGAAGCTATGCTTGAAAGTTGAACATATTGACAAACTGCACGGGAACCTTGGGCTCGTCTTTTGTTTTACTTATATTTTATTTTGAAAACATACATTTATCTGATAAGAACCGGATCAGAACCAACGTTCAGCACCTCTTGTATAGCAGGCAAAGTTCTGCAGGCTTTCATGATAAATTGCAACTCATAGGGACTGGATCACTTTTTTGATATCTGCACACCACTAGAGGATATATTTAGTATATGTTAGTTTCTTTTCAACACTCCAACAGAGAGCACCCGTTAAGCTCCAAAAGTTTGACGACAGGGGGGGGGGGAATTTCATTGGTCTAAAGTCGTTCAGACGGAACATGCGGGCCAGTCAGTGCGCCTCTTTTTCGACGCCGTTTTAAGCCCGTTGCCCAACACGTGAAGCAGACTCTGCTCCTCACGTGAAAACGTCGAGATGTTTCCTTGCGAATTTACTTAGTTATAATAACCTCATTAGTGGTAACTTGTTCTCTGCACTTCAGAATGCAAAAATCCAACACCTTCCGCTCCTTTTGAGCATTTCTCTTCTCTGGGTTTCACTTCCCTCCAGCGACACTGTCTCTACTCCTTCCGCACGTCTTGTTCGCACTGCTTCATTTCAATCTCTCCGTTCTAGTCTCCACATCTCTTTACGGTCTTGCTCCATATACGGATAACATGTTTTCCCGATGGACTTGCCACTGGAAGTCCTCCTGGCGCACCAAAGAGTTGTGACGCGACTGACAGATTGGCTCAATTCCAGGTCATAAGCAAGAAATATGCTGATGCCACAATTATTGCCATCAATCGTGTTCAGTGCTTCTAGGATCGGTGAGTCTCATGCATATCAGATCCATGGTGGAATCTGCTGACATCTTTTCTACTAGAGTAGTAACTTGAATCAAAGTCAGAAAGCATGATGAGCAAATAGATAGAAGTTGTGGTGGCGCTGTCTGCTAACTAGTTACTGGGCTACGGAAACTGGCGTTGGTCTGAAAAGGGTAACTATAATAGCAACTGCCTGGCAACCGCCTAGCAACCGCCCTACGGAAATGAGTATATAAGGAGATCCCTTCCCAGACCCCACTTTCGTATATCACTTTAGTATTCGTTGAATTAGCTTACCTAGTTGGCAATCCAAACCCCCGTTCATCTGTGTCTAGATCGAAGCCGCGACAGAAGTGATTAATCAGACTGAATTTCAATTCTTGCAGGCTCAACTACATGAGTAGAAACTTCTGCTGAGAGAGATTTGCCATCAACCCAGACAATAAAGTCAGGAATTGAATTGTCAAATATCTGATAGTTTTAAAGAATCTATCATTCAGTAAATGCTATTGAGAAGTTAAGGAAATATATTACTGCAATATACATCTAGAATGGATTAGACACTGTATATATCTAGAAATAATTATCCACTCATCATTTGTAAATAATACTCTATCTGTGTACAGACTGGACAGTCAATATCAGGTCTACTACAATAGCTCACACGATGCAAAGATTCAATCATCAATGAATGGTCAAGTACTTTGATTGTGTCAAGCTACAACTGGCTGTTTTCATGACAACGCAATTGTAAGCTTTATTGAAACTAATTTCAATGAAACTGTCCAGCAGCTCTCTGATCAATGAGTGTGAATAAAGATATGTTAAAATATGTTCTTCCTGAGACTCTGAAGCAGAATCAGTAGATTTTATTTTGATAGCAATCAGCTTCTGTTACTTCTGATCAGAAGCCGGTCATACTGTAGAGCGTAGAAGACGTGAATTGAAGGGGACCATTTAGTAACAGTCGGCCATAGTGGAAGTGGGTGGCATTGCGGGAGAGAAGACAACGGCTGACCTGCGGACAACATTGATCTACGCATTTATCAGCTCCTCAGCCGATTCTTCTGATTAAGCAATAGTTATATAAGCCAACACAAAATGACTTAACGTGTTTCACGGCGGACACTTGTACCACCACGCTATTTAGTAGGAGAAAATACCTCTAAGACAAACAGCATATTATCATTCTACATTAGCCTAGTGGTTACAAAGTGGCCAAGGTCGCGGTGGAGAATAATCCCCTATTCTTCACAAGAGGCGTAGCATCGGATAAGAGGTTCATTGTGGGTGAATCCGAGCTTGACTGCTGGATAAAAAGAAGGTATTAGGCTATGAGCCAGCATGGGTCTGAAAGTACACTGTTTGTCCGTCACAGAATCTGCTGTGACACGTACCTGCAGAGCACACTATCCCAGGATGAATAGGCGGCTGTACAGCCCGCGACACTATCAGCAGGGAAGCTCAACTTCACCATGAGCGGTACAACCCAGTGACGAGAGTGGAAATTTCACTTTACCTGGAACAATGCAGTTGGAGACCACAGCGGACCTTCAGACTCCAATCAGTTGGCGATGTCGATTAGGATAAACTCTTTGCGAATAACTACTGGTGAAGGGATAAGCTATGGCAGCGGGATAGTATGGATATTGGCACTGGAGAACAAGAACAGATATTCCCCATCATACGGTAACTATAGTTACCAGAGTATATATTTAGTTTCATTTTCAACTGTCCAATAGAGGGCGCCCATTGTGCCCCAAAGTTTGATGACAGGGAATTCATTAGTTTTCCGGAATTCTTGTCTGGAGTGATTGCCGATGGATGATGAATCACTGTCAACGCAAGCAAGCTGCGTGACTTTGACTTAATTGGGAGATTCTGGGGGCCGATCAACCTTAATCGGACTCAAATTTAATGCCGAGCTCGCTATTTAAGAGCAATTTCTAAGAATTGCCAGGGCCCTAAGATTCGCAGAGACCCATTTTTTGAGCGAGTTTACTCCGACTTCATCCATTTCAAACCACTGAACAAAAGCTATAGAATACTGCAGCCCGATAAACGTCCCATTAGGAACAGCGGAAGAAACGGAAAAATAAATAAATAAATAAAGGTAAAAAATAAAATAAATAAAATATGGGGACTTATCCAGCTTTCTCCGGTTCACCTCAGCTCCCAGAGCAGCGGCTTCATGGGACTACCAACCTAAACCCTGCTGGTGGATACAGAATTGAGCTGCAAATCCAGGATGCGACGTTTGACAAATACCCTGGTCAGTATATGCTATTCTGACACCCTTCCCCACAGAAATCACAATAGGCTGTTGTGTATTCCAACAGGGGAGACGCATTTGCCCGAAGTTTTCTAATGCACAACCTGGATAATTCATAGCAAAACAACATGCACAAAGAGTTGCGGCAAAGATCAAGAAAGGAAAAGGGCTTATTTTTCTGATGGGCCAGAAGGCTGCTCTACTTGAGGACTCGGACCAGGAAACTCGATTTCGACAGAGACGCTACTTCTTCTATATGTCTGGCGTCAATGAAGCTGACTGCGACCTCACTTACGATATACAGTCGGACAAGTTGACTCTGTATGTTCCTAACTTTGATTTGGGTCGAGAGATCTGGATGGGCCCTACCCTTGGACCACAGGATGCTTTAAAAAGGTGCGATCTTTTCAAAACCAACCTGCAACGTTATGATTGTGCCAATGCGCCCTGGATTGAACTTAACATTTGGAAACTATAGATATGATATCGATGAAGCCAAATACCAATCTTTCCTTCAGGGAGACATCAAACAATGGGCTAGCTGTTCAGGCCATGGCTCCACAATATACACTCTCCACGACTCCCAAAAGCCGACTGGGGACTTCCCTAACGTGTTTATGGATAGCGAAACGCTCAAACCAGCAATGGATGCATGTCGCGTCATCAAGGATGAGCATGAGATTGAGCAAATGCGGCATGCCAATAGAGTTTCTACGGCTGCCCACATAGCCGTTCTTCAAGGGATATGCAAAATGACCAACGAGGCTCAGATAGAAGGCTCCTTTCTGAATACCTGCGTCTCGCTAGGAGCACATAACCAAGCCTACGGGATAATTGCGGCGTCAGGCGCAAATGCGGCGACTCTTCATTACTCGAAGAACAATGAGCCGCTCAAAGGGCGTCAGTTCGTCTGTCTCGACGCTGGCGCCGAGTGGAACTGTCACGCAAGCGATGTGACCCGCACCTTCCCATTGACTGCTCGATGGCCGGGGACTGAAGCGGAACAAATCTACGCTTTAGTGCAGAATATGCAGGAAAGTTGCATTCTACGCATCAAGGAAGGGGTTCGATACCTGGATCTTCACCATCTAGCGCACGACATCCTCATCCACGGCTTTCTTGCTATTGGTATTTTTAAGGCAGGCACAGCCGATGAGATTAAGAAGTCCGGTGCTTCCAGCCTTTTCTTCCCCCATGGCCTTGGACATCATATTGGCCTTGAAGTGCACGATGTTTCTCCAGATTCTATATTCGCGCAGGATAACGATGGAACGACTGACAGCTGGCTGTTTTCTTCGACATACCTATCACCCTGCACCGCATCATCGCCGACGTTGAAATCGGGGATGGTAGTTACCGTTGAACCAGGTATTTACTTCTCACAGATTGCTCTGGATAATGCGAAACCGGCGCAGCTCAAGCATATCGATATGGATGTGGTGAAAAGATATATGGCGGTTGGTGGTGTGCGGATCGAGGATGACATTCTGGTTACGAAGGACGGTTTCGAAAACTTGACATCGGCACCCAAAGGACAGGCCATGTTGGACTACATTCAACAGGGTAATGGGTCATGCGATATTTAGGCATTTGGGACACACGAAATATGTTTGGTGTCTGTTTAATTGACCAAATTTGTTTTTTTTGGATATTTGGATATTTTTGCTATCAGTTAACACTAAAGACAAATTCATTCATCCATAATATGCCACCATGCGTAGGAGGTGAGAATGGCTGCCTTTTGCCAATACGCGAACTACTCTTGATTTTGTTGGGCGTTGCCGCTGCTCCGCATGTGATCAGGCGTATGATCAGGCGTATTATATAGAACAGCAAGCTCCCCCGCTCCCAATACATACAAGATTTTAAACAAAACCTGATCGACCAAGGCGGCTATCCATATATGCCAAGACCCCAGATGCCAAGAAAGAAAGAAATGGTCATGTGATGCACCCACGTGACGCTGGCCAATGACATCATGCTTTCAACTGCAAACCATCTCACATAGATTCGAATCCGTTGGTCCCGACCACTTGGGGGGGGCGCTGCTGATCGCATCAAAAAAAGTCTCGCTATTCAGACCAACAGTTTGCTATCAAAAATCCCTGATAATGGAGCTTGCTGGCTGATGCCTTTTTCTGAAAGCAAATTTGCGGGTCCATGGAACTTTGTTGGCAGCAGACGAATTGTACCATGGCACAGCCTGTCGGCTGTGACTCATACACCTTCCATCCAAGTATGGCGTGTTGATCTCACCACCATTATGCCTGTTTATGTTTGCCCAAGCCCCCGCCTAATTATCAGGATTTCTGGCTTTCTGATTCGCCGAATTAAGCGGGTTTCTTCAAGCTTTATACCCTTTCTGTTTCTGATTTGCAGGCGCAAGCATTTTTCCTATTGGGCGACCCTTTCTTCTTGACTTTGCCTCATTTAGCTGCTTAGGCACACCTTTGGCCGCCGCATGACTCACCTGATAGGTTGGATGAGTCGAGATTTAAATCTGTAGTTATCTCTCATTTCTCCCTTGTTGTCTTGCTATATAAGCCGAAATGGCGTTGCCAGAATGTCTATCTCCTTCTTGATCGTTTTCTTTCACCAGGATTTCAGGTGTCTTTAACGTTTGAATTTCATACAGGACATACAAAGTCTCTAGCTCGTTCTCCCTTTGACTTGAATTCCTACACCTCCTATCATGGGACAAAAGCACAACCGACGACGCACCAGACCTCGCACCCGACGTTGTTCAAATGTTCTCCAAGACCAAACAGCCTCTCCGGTACAGGCAGCCTTCACATGCCGGCAGTCATCCAGTGAGCTGAAGGACCCAAATTCTTCCTCCTTTACTCTCTTCCCTTATCCATTTCCGGAATCTCAGCCACAACCGCTCGCCAAACACTGGCACAACCGTCAAATTTCGTGGCAGAACTGCGAGTGTCGCCAGTTCCTGGAGGCTGCCCAGCTGGAGGCTGACCAGTGCCGCTTGTTCGGAGGTGAGCCTGGGGATGATGTAGGCCTGTGCTATCGTATGCTAGAATATTTCGGTGGACTCGATTATATTGATTCGTGAGCTCCACTACGTCCGCCTTATATGTCATTATCTAATTCAGCTACACTCCTACTGCCTCTCCATCTCTCCTCCCCGCGATGATGAATTGTGAAACAATCTTATGGCACCTGTCTTGTGTTGTTTTTGTTTGTAGGAAAGATCTGTAGCGGCTATGTTCAGCTTTGATGTGTGGGATTCAGAACATGTCTCAATATTGGATGATACCCTTGAGGGATATTTGCATCAACAGCCAGCCGAGATGCATCAGCTAAGGCGATAATATGAAACAAAATTTGGCATGAAATTGCAACAACCTGCTCTCGCACACAATATGACAAAATCTATTTTCGTGACCCATACCAATACTGGAGCGTGGAATATTCGAAGCCTCGACTCGAAGCAATGGCGAAATCACCCTTTTTCGTCGTTCACCATACTTTGACGTTTAATGGGTGATACCCGAATGATCCACAACGGCTCGACCATTGACTTCCCGGTGGATTTTCACACATGACCCCTCCCCTCTCCCTCCCGCCTTCTCCCTGGCGCGGGGCCACGGAAGCAAAATAACCCAAGACATTTGGTTTCCAGCGATTCTTGACAACCTTCCCTGCTGTTCCACTGTGGTTGCAGATGGTGCCTGCAGCCAAATGTGCCGATTCATACTGTGTGTTAATACGTTATGGATTGGGCTGTTGGAATGCTTGAGCTCTCTGTGGGTGGATGTCGAGATCCAAGACAACTTGGGACTTGCAAAGACAGCGAGAGTGTGCTATTAGGATATCCCTGGGGTGATTGAAGGAATGTGAAAATTGGAATGGATGGGTTATTGGAGTTGAATGTCTTACAGAGGGCTTCCATGATGGAATGTTTAGTGTGTAACTGATATGTAGTCATCCATCCATCCTTCTTGTTTCTAAACGTCTTGGACTTTTTTGTAGTGGTGGGGTTTGTCTTTGTTTATACCCTCTTATTTTGCCGTGGAGTCTCTGGTTTATTGGCTCTTTGTTGGGAATCTTTGGATATCACAAACATATATATATAATTTGATGGTTAATGAATTGAATTTTAATTGTTTTACTCATATTCCTTATTTCCTATCTCCTGGACTTACAGTGCAATAACGATCTCATGAGTCTCATCCATGGATACGTTATCTGGGGAATAGTTTCCGAAGGTTACGGACCGTTTGGGCTAATCCGGAATTATATTAGCGCCAGTAATTCTGAGCTGCCGATGGCGCTAAACCCAGTTAGGATCAAAAGGACAAGTCTTCGAGATTTCTTGAAACATCAAATACCGGAGGCTTCAACTGCATCAACCTCGTAAACTTCTTCTCTTCCTCTTCTTATCTCCGTCCCGTGTGTTGTCTCACCCTTCACCGGGTCTACTTCGACGTCCATCGGAACACACAATGTCCACGGATCTCGTCCCCTTCATCCTCTAAATATCTTCTTCACTGAGATAAATAATTTGGTTGTAATTTAGAAAATTTGTTCATAGCGTTTCCCCGAAGGACTGGACTTGACAGGAGACAGTTCTCTCCCTTTTCGCTCTATCTGAAGCGAAAATGTCTTCCACAGATTACAACTATGATGAGCAGGTAAGTTAGTCGTCAATCTTCCGTTTTTTTTTTTTTTTTTGGGGGGGGGGGGCAAGGAGTTGTCCTGCAATCCCTCTGGGCCAAGGGGGAAGCTGTGCTCAAGCTTCATGCTAACCGTATACATGTGTCCAATGTGTCCAGGGGCAATTCTTTCCCTTCTTCATACTCACGCTGACGTCGCTCATTACCCTCCCGCTCTCGTATACCCTCCTTAGGCCCAGCAAGGGTGAGTCTCGCAATTGTGTTCCGCTGCTGCTCCACCCGGTCGAAAAAAGTTCATACGGAGGGAAGAATGCTAAAAGATATTGTTGTCTGGTTTCGCAGATCTGGAAAATACCGCTCCTCGAATAAAATCCGACTTTCGTCCTGAACATGGCGATATTATCCGAAAGCAGAAGCTAAAGCTTCTGCTGAAAGAACGCCGATTGAAGCGCATATTCACTGTGCTACTTGGATATGCAGTTATGGCATGGATGGTCTACTTGATTATTGTCACGGCGAGGAGTACTCCGAAAATATGGGATCCTTATGATGTTTTGGGAATCTCCAGAGTGCGTATTACCATCCCAGAACATAATTACCCCTGCCTTGTTCCTCCACGTCTTTTCCCGGGAACTTTAGGATTTAACATCTCTGTGGGGTTGTATAGAGCGCCAGAGAGAAAGATATTAGTAGGCACTTCAAACGCCTTTCTCTCAAGTTTCATCCGGACAAGATTAAACCGGATCCAGCTAAAAACGAAACTATCGAGACCTTGAACGATCGCTTCGTTGAGTTGACCAAGGCATACAAGGCTTTGACTGACGAGGAAGTCCGCAACAATTATATTCAATACGGCCATCCGGACGGAAAGCAAAGCTTCAGTATTGGTATTGCGCTTCCCAAGTTTATCGTCACTGAAGGAAATGGTAAATACGTTCTCTTGGTATACGGGCTGCTCCTGGGTGTTCTGCTGCCGTTCATTGTTGGGAAATGGTGGTATGGCACGCAACGATATACGAAAGAAAAAGTACTCGTTGCAAGCGCTGGGAATATTTTCCGAGAATACAAGGATGATCTTGTTGACGGAGGGATAATAAGTGCTCTTAGCTCCGGTGAGGAGTATAAGCAGATGTTAAAGAACGGGAGGGCCGAATACGGACTCTCTAAAGTTGAAAACAAGATCCTTTCCGATGGCAACTCCGCTGCTTGTGGAACAACTCTATCGGCCAAGGACCGAAAAGCTTTAGCTGACTTGGAAAACGCCAGCAGAAGGAAAGCTCTGGCACTCCTATGGGCATATTTGGGCAGGGTTGAACTTGATGACCCTAATCTTAATGAGGGTAGGTTATCCTCTTATATAACGTTTTCTATAGGGAAATGCCTGATTTTTAACGCCTTTTACAGAAAAATTTGGAGTTGCTCCAACCGCTTTTACCCTCAACGATTCCTTTGCGTCCATTGCACTCGCCTTTGGCAACCTGCAGCCAATCCTCGGCTCGTTCCACATGTCCCAGTATCTCATCCAAGCTATTCGACCGGGCGAATCACCCCTTCTCCAACTGCCTCATTTCACCAACCAGATCGTGCGAGCTATCGAAGGAGAACATTCGAGGAGCCATATGTCAGTGCCACAGTTCATGGCGCTTTCAGAAGAACAACGAAAAAAGTTGACCGTTGGTAAAAACCTTTTATCAAAACAACAATACGCAAGCGCCATGGCTGTTGCCAAGCAAATACCTGTTTTGAGCGTGGCAAAATCGTTCTTCAAGGTCGTAGGGGAAAAGGTTATCACACCTAGCAGCCTGGTTCAACTTATCGTCAAGGCACGGTTTATTCCACCGGCCTCCACTGATGTCCCCGAGATCAACGAGAATGACCTTGTGGATATTGACCCCGAAGAAGGGGAAGAAGGCAAGAAGAAGGGTAGACAAGGCGATTCAGAAGTCACAGTCCAACCACCGCTTGCCCACGCTCCCTACTTTGCCCGAGATCACTCCCCCAGATGGTATATTTTCCTTGCGGATTCCAGGCAAGGCAAAATGGCCGTGCCCCCATTCACATTCACCACATTTGATAAACCGATCTTCGACAAAAATGGAAAGCCTACTTTCAACGTGCAAACATTGAGAATGCAATTCCAAGCTCCCCCGCAAGTTGGAAAATTCCCTTTCTCTCTCTACATTGTCTGTGACAGCTACATTGGCTTTGATACCGTTGCAGATATCACCCTGGTAGTTGAGGATTTGGCCAAGGCTGCTGCTTTAGAGGAGGAAGATGATATATCTGAACCCGATGAAGGTATGTTTCGTCTTATAATCATATGTAAAATCTTTTCGTTTTCTTGAGCCAATGATCTAACTTTTACTGTCTGCCCAGACTCAATTGCCGGTCAAATGCAAGCTCTCAAGACTGGCCACCCCCCTCCCAGAAAGCGGGTAGCCAAGAAGCCAACCGAAGAGTCTAGTGAGGATGAGAGCGACACAGAGGGTGAGGCCGATGATACCAGCGAGACTGATACAGAAACAGATACGGATGGAGAGTAAAGATTTTAATAAATACCTATAAATTTATTTATTTCTTCTCTTCTCTTTTCTTTTTCCTTTTTATTATTTTCTGTGACACGTTAGCAGATTTATTATCCTTCTCATCATCGAAATCAAATGGTCGCGCCTCGTTAAGCGCAATTTATTTCTGTTTCTATTCTTTTTATTAATATGTTGCCCGTTGCATTAGCTCTTGATGGCTAGATGCAGACCCTTGCCCAGTGTATCGTTCATTGCGGGTCCTTTGGACAAGGATGCCACCTTGCATATAAGAATAAAAATGGTATTCCTGCTGGTGGACTAGCTTGTTAGCTGCCCCCCTAACTTAACCATCCAGCACCCGCAACCTTAACTTAAGACTTGGGACACCGTAAGGAGTACTGAACTGTGCTCCGTAATCCAGGCTGATATGGTGTTTCCTTCTTTTCTGCAGCAGAATATCATCCGTAATCCGGGGTCCCGTGCCTAATATCCCCTCGAACCACATTGGATTATGTACGGCCATGTGACAGCGATAGTTATTATAGCTTTGCCACACTTTGCTCAATCATTTCAGTTCCTTTTCGTCTGGAGTAGTGCACTAAGCTGCTCAAAATGTCACGAACTAATAGATGCCAAGTCACTGATTATGAAGCACTTTGGACACAGAAATCCGACAAGTAACACAAATTGTGTACCTCAATTATGACGTCAAGGACTGCTGCCGAAAAAATGAAGTCATAACTATCTAACGAGCGGTAACTAATAATATTGAGCAGCGTTCAATGAATAACACAATCTTGGAAATCTGATAACTTGCATTGCATATGCATGCATTGTCCCAAGACCTGGGAAGGTTTCCAGCCGCATCGTGTCGATCATCTTGGACTTGAAGGGGTCCGTATAAGAGAATATGCCTATGTTAGGACGAGTGTCATTGGCTTGCTTACGGATGCAACGAAGTAGCGTTTAATTGAATTGTTGGCAATCCTATACGGTCAGTTAATTATTACGTGACGATTTTCTTCAGAATACTACTGACCAACAACGAAGGCTGACCAAGAACGAAGGAAAAAGAGCCATGCAAAACCTGGAGGCTAGGCTACGCAAAGCCAAAAACACAAGGGAGTAGGGCAACGGGGTGCTTTCTAATATGGGACTTACTCAATGAAAGTGAATTTCTATGCTTTTCTCAGTCATAAATTCTTCCCTGGAAGTCCTGGGACACGATTCATCAATTTCACGGCAAAAAATAAGTTGCCAAGCTGTTCAATAATTGAATACCAACAAAAAAGCCTGGAGCCAATGATGAGAATCACCCATGCACTGTGATCAAAGGCTAAGCTAATGACCAACAACATGCATTAGGGGGATAGGGTTATACGAAAGGGGATAGGGGGGTGGAGGAGCTGAATATATGGGGTTAAAAGCTTCTATGGCCATCTCCATCATTGCTATTCCCCCTCTCCCTTTCATACTTACACAGCTACAAAAGCAAAGATAGAGACACATTACATAGGGAAAGGGGGATAGAAGAAGCTAAGATGTTATTAACTAATAAAAGAAAAAGAACTAAAAAGGGGTGGGGTGAGGCAAAACGCATTAGGGAACAAACAGAACATGACGATTAGGCATTAAATGTGTTCTAGTAACTCGGGATACCAGGGATAGGCCGTTGGGGAAGATCAGAGGTTCAAAAATTATCAATGGAGTGAACGTGATGAATCTCAATCAGCGTTCCACCCGCCCTGTTTTGGAAATTTGGCACGAGCAACGGGTAGTTAACTAAATGGAGTGGTAAATATCTGTCAGCACACTATCCAATACATTTAGGCCTCCAGAAAGTGTGGCCCTTACTATTTCCACCAGGCAGGTGCTAGGTTGGGTGGGGAAAAGTGTTGTGGTCCGCTGAGGGAACGACTGACGTGTCTTTGACCATGAACCTCATCACGATGGGAGGTCTCTCTTTACCAATTTTAACAAGCGCAAGGCTCAAAAGACGGCTTGAGTTTATGTACGCTGGACGAGCGGGGATGGATGTTGCTGGCAAGGCTTGTATCCACTGGAGAACGGAGGACGATTCAGTGATCAGATCTTCAGTTGCATTGGGTGTGTGCAAATAATCCATTGATAATTCCATTATCAAAATCGTGCCAGCCTGTACAATGTAATGCAAGACACACCACCAAGAAGTTGACATGTTGAGGCTGGGGCGGTGGATGTTGAGATGAAGGAGCATAATTAAGTTCCGGGCTGCTGATAGGCAACAGCTTGCAGCATCTTCATCCATTCTTTTGGATGCTGCAGATCGGACGAAACAGCATCACTTAATTGGCGGGTTTCAGAGAAACAAGGACGTTGATTTACGGGTAGGAACGGGCTGGAATCGGGTTGCAAGACCCAGAAGCCCTGCGGGGAGGTTGTGTCTCCATTGGTTGAGCTTCTTGTCTAAATCGATGACCAGTTTCTGCACTTTAGCCCAAGTTCTACTGCCTATGTTGGAGCTGTACAGCTGCTCCTCTAAGGTCTCGACGACTATTGAGTCCAGACGAAGACTCCGGAAGAAAACGGTCCACAGGGTAATAGGTGAGCTGCTAGCGGATTGAATACTTTGACAACGAATGCATTGTTGCCCCGGCCCCTGGAAATCTTAGCGATTCGATTGACGTGGAAGGGTTCGTAAAAGGGAGTTCAATCGCCTGTAGTAGGTGGATACTTATGAAGCAATCATGGATTAAAGAAGGCCACCCTGTCAAGACGCAAAGAAATTGTTCCAAAGACCTGATGGAATGCCAAACTCTCAATCCATATTCTCCTTTTCCTTCGTGTTAGCATTGACTAAACGGAGAGCACTGGTATCGCCGAAACATATCATGACCAGTCTAATTAACTTCCATGCTCTGAATATATTGTTAGTTTGCTATTACCAAATACTGAGCACATATGAATTTACCTGTTGATGTGGTAGCTAACAAGATAATACAACACACTTATAGCGGCTACTTGAAGTTGTTCCATTGAAGGAGAATCAACGCAAATGATTAATTTCAGTCCCACTGCGCTTGAACTGAATGCGGACCTAGTAAGATCGCCTCCCTTTGCTGTGCGTGGATCTTCTGTATGAAGAGTGTAAAGTGCACCAATGGCGAAAACAAGTTGCAGAATAGAGTGCCATATCTCTTCAGGGGCAGTCCGCTGTTTCGTAATAAATTTCGCAAGTCATTCATTCTGTGAATTCTCTCTCTCAAAGGAGCGGGAACATTGGATGTACAGTTGAAAAATATAAATTTACGAACAAGTCAGCCATCTCTTTCGTGGGGAACCGAGCCTGATAGTCCGCCATAGGAACGTAGTTGTAGTCGCAAAATATGTGCATTCTTGTAGCAGGCAACGATCGAACCAATCAAAAATTACTGCATGGTTCGCCTTGTTTAAGTATTTGCCGTAGCTGATTCAAAAAGAGTCAGATGGCTTCAGAGCGAGAGAAAGACCAGAAATACTCAACTAGCTGGACCGAAATAATCTGTCATTTTTGTTGTAAGTTCTTCAATCCATCTGACGACGGAAGCTTTTCCAAGGAAGCTTGTGGTGCTGTTGACACAAATGGGTACTGGTTGAGCCCAATCTTGGAATTGTTGGGAAGTAGAAACTGGAGAGGCTGCAAATTCGTCCTCACAATCAGGCAGTGCAACTCCCCTTGGAACAGCAATATCGTCTTCAACGATATTTCGATACTGCAACGCGTCAGCAAGTGCTTCATATGCGGAACTCGCGGAACAAATAGCCTATCAATTAGTACTTGCTCTCATGAAGAAAGCCATTAAATTTACCGCTGATAGCGTTTTTGAATTGTTTGTTGCGTTTCTGGATTTGGCATGGAATCAAGTTGGAAAGAAGCCTTTTTTTTGCAGCCACCCTTGCAGCATTATTTTTTGTATATCTGCCACCCAATTACTTGCTTAGGTAAAGGGAACGATGTAGGGGGAAGAGAAGCAACGACAGGAGAAAAATATAAAAATTGAGACGCAAAGGAAAAAGCCATGAAGATGCTTTGGCGTATACAGGTACGTGTGAAACAATTCAAAGCTGAAAATGAGCTGGAGTTTCGAAGATTCAAAACGATACAAAATGATCCTCAGACTGACCGTTTCAGCTTTTCGCGTTTGCCATCCAGATAAACACAGACAGGCCCTTGATCTCTGCAGCGCGATCAGACAGGACGGAGACCATCGCATTTAAACTTCCTTTTGCGACACGGATCACAGGCATGGCTGACTCTTTGCCGTTTGGTTGGAAGGTGAGGATATTTTCTGTCCGAGCCGCTGGAGCCTCGGTATTGGCGTCTTTGGTTCTGTTCGTCTAAGAGATGATATCGCTATATTCGTTGTTTCTGTTGATAATATCAACTCATGAAAAATGGTCAGAAAAAGGGAGGGTTGGAGAGGTTATTGGCTATATTAAGGGGGTTAGGCTGCTGCTCCCGTTGGCGGGGTATGTCCGTACACTGATCCATTTTGCTGTAGAACAGAGGTGGAGTTAAGAGCAAACAGTAGCTCTGACTTCTTGATTGTAACTCAAAAAGTTGCAGTTGTGATGTTTTAGGAAAAGGAGAGCAATAATACCATTGATAAGCAAATGTTCACGAGTGTGGCGTATTGTCTTACTTAAAAACAAGCAGCGGTTCTAGGCCCTCTAAACCATCCTGTGGTGTTTAATCTCCGTATTATAGTTAGCTTTGGTCACATAAAGAAATTCTTCCGAGTTTAGAATAGGATCTGTAACACTTTCCCTGGAGAGACAGAGCAGGGGACAACGTTCTCTATCCAGTTATGTAAATTGCTGTGTACCAGAAGCCCATTGAAAGCATCTTTGCGGTAGAGAATCGATCTCTTGACTCTGGATGGTTTAAAGAAGAAAAACAAATGGAGAAGGTAAAATGAAAATGGGACCAAACCTTGAAGTCTTAAATCCTTGGCAAGTATCGGAAGCACAGGAAATGTTAAGACTAACTCGCAAGACCAAATGGTCAAACCTCAGGTATCGGCGGGGCAATAGTAAGGATCCGGGTAACCTTAAAGGGGATAGCGAAACTAAATTTTTGAAAGAGATTTTAATAGTTGGTGGAAATTGGTGGAAGTTGTAGGAGGTCGGCGCATTAGAGTCCCCAGAGCAAGTTAATAGGAGCCCGAAACATAAGGGTTTCCCCACCTTGCATGAAAATGCAATTGCAACTATTCCTTTGTTTGCAGGTTCTGTTGAAGCTCATCATATAGATACCATCGAGAAGGATGGTGGAATATTACGGTCCTAAAGTTGTAAACCAAAAGGAAACAACGTCGAGAGACAACATTAATATCAAGTCGACTTTATTAGCTCGCTGTGCACATTGGCACTTCACTTTCGAAGTGTATACAGCAGCAAACGCGTGAAATCTGGTCGAAAATGCCAACGCCAAGTTAGTCAGTCAGTCAACGCACGCCTCCCTCACCTCATCCGAAAGCCTTCGGTATGATGAACTTTTAGTGCAAGCATCAGGGTGGGTGGCTGATTTGGCGGATAATAGAGAATATTATCTTCCAAGTGCTAAATGTGTACTCCGTACAGCGTATCATATCTGTTCAAAAGGTGGCTCATCACCCATATATACACATCCGCAAGTAGTTGCCTCGTTGTTTCTGAGTTTACCGATATGTTAGAGAGGGCAGAAGTAAAAATAAGAGAAGGTCTAGTTCATCTTCAAAGCAGTGAAAATAGCTTAATGGAAAATGTTGAGAGTAAACGAGGACCGGATGCCTGACAGTTCTCATGTTCCCCGATGGCTGTAGCAGCTGAGTCTTGGCTATAAAGATAAGAGGTGTTTGAGCTTCAATGTGGCCATGCAAATACCTAGGTGTATCATGATATATGGGATATTTTAGAACCATGTTGCGTCAATTGGCTCAACTGGCCGACACAAATCGGCCAACCCAATGATTTTTGGGTTTGAACTTCACTTCCAAGAAGCTCATTCTTCTTCACCTGGATAGCATCAACATATGTACCAATACGCGTACAAAATACTGTTTTCTTCCTGTGTATTCTGGGGGCGAACCAGAAACTGGTCGCAGCAGAGAAGTGGTTTTCTACCCATTATCAGCATGAGACTAAAACCGAAGAAAGATACTTGATAAACATCACAAATCCAAACTGAGAAACAGTACCTTGGTAATTAATAGTAAAGCGGTAGGTCAAAACTACATATATGCAGCAGCAACGAACAAAATGAGAATTAATGAAAAGTAGGATAGGTGGTCTCCGTCATGAAGTGTTGTGATGGCTGCCCACACTGTTGCGGGCTGAGCAGCCAACAACCCAGCAGACTAACGCAACCACCGGTCAATAATTAAGAGCAAAAAATCAATTTGTCCCACATGACCTGGGAGAAGACGATTCAGCAATGGATGAAGAGACCGGCATCAATCGCTGCGGGTTGGGAAAAAGAGGCGTTGAAAAGCTGCCAAAAGGTCGTATCGGGAAATTATTCTTCCGAACCCGTGGCAATCAACAAAACCCTCGAGTTGCTTCGCGAAATAATTTGATTATTTTATATCCTGGATCTCAAACCCAAAATATTTCATGGCATGTCAGGAGTTTTTGAGTCTTTTGAGTCACCGTGGTTCATGCGAGTAGCTGTATTTTTGTCCATGCTCCGCGCCAATCACAAAAACCGCACATAACTAGCTACAATCCCTCCACATTTTTATCGCTTCATCTACGGATTTTTCGTTCCACATTCGACGATCGTGATATATTCCGATATCAACCCAAAAGAGGAGACAGAGACAGAAAGAAATATTAATATGCACGACCAGAGAGCTAACTTAACTGCTGGCAATTGGTGGTATCTAGCAACGAATGCATTTTTAACCAGCTGCCCATGATTGAATCTCCCGAAAGAGGCGACATCGAATTACTCGAACCCGGACGCGAGATCACAAGACCACGAAACTTGCACGCTGAACTGCTCTACATCACCTAGGATCATGTTATTCATGTTTCGCTGATGAGGGTTTTTGTACGTGCTCCTTTAATGTCGGCTACCCGCCGACCAAAATGACGTGCAGCCCAATGCATCGTCTTCGTACTCAACATCTATATCTCCGTTTCGCATGTTCAAACTGCTCAAGGTTGAAGGAGCGTTATCGAAAAGGCGTTCATCACCACCTATTTGATTATGTGGGTTTTTATGAGATAATGACCACCCAAACGTGTCCGGAATGTGCTCCACCAGATGACATGGATTTGACGAACCCCAGCCGTTAGGTAGGGTATTTCTCAAACTACCTCCCCTCAATGCATGGTTTAGTTGGCTCTCTGCACTAGTTTCCATCGATACTGGACTTCTTTCAACATATTGAGGTGAACTGGTATTGCTCTGAGATCTCTTCTCTTCCATTCTCCTGTCTGTTGAACTACAGGTTATTTTCAACCCAAACATTTAGGTTCAAAGCAGAATATCGTATAAGGGGGTTACCTTTCTTTCTCGCATACTTTCTAGCTTTCCATTCATTCAGGTACCTCACATGTGTGTTATAATTGTCTGAGTTTTCGTATTCCCCAAGGGCAATCTTGTACTCTTCTCGCGCCTGGGTCGCGCGTGCTTGGGCGATCTTCTTTTCATTTTCTGGCAATTCTCTCCACAGTCTGCCAATTTCGATTGCCATTTCAGGAAACGACAAGGCCTTATACTGAAGTTCAGCTCGTTTTTCTATGAAATTCTTGAGCATCTTAGTCGAAAATCTTGGATTTGTGAATTAGCATACCATTCGCAAACACTGCGTATGCAGTCAACGGCTTTTTTGGGGCATTTGGGTCGGGCTTTATGTGCAATAGTTCGAGTTAGAGTTGGACACTTTATCCCCTTTTTCGGAAGATGTGATGTAAAATGGTTTGCTAACGACCGCGACATATGTTCAAGGGACTGAATCTAACCTTAGGATGCCACTGGTATCGCCTCTTTTGTTTAGAACAGTTGCTGTATTCGCCCTGCTGTGCCGGCCGATTGCGGAAATCGTTTCTCTCCTTTGCAACTCGCTGTTGCAACCTCTGCATTATATTGAGCGCAAGAAGAGATTTCTGTGGTCGACAAAGAGCATACCCTTCGATGACCCAATTTGACCCCCAATGCATCTCTTCTCACATTAGCACTCGGTGCATCATTAGACGGACGTTGAAACCATACAAATCAATTTCAGTGATTTCCAAAACATCGTTCCATGTCTCGAAGCCATTTCCGATGAACCTGTGTAAATACTGGGTCATCCCTAACTCATGAAACACCACTGCGAGGTCTTCCATATCAACTGCAGAGAAGCGTGACTTTGGGATATTAAAGAAGTGGTCGCTTGTGAGGCCTGATGGATGCCTGATCGTAAACTAACAAAACAGCATCTTATTTGAGCTGCCGAATTTCGATAGCATATCTGTTTCTTGGAATATTCCGAAAATCATTTATCGGGTCTGGACTCCTCAAATACAGTATGCCAGAATACATTTAGCAGGTCTTAGCCACCAACCACCCACACGCCAAGTTACACCCCACTCCATGAAAGTGCCACTTGTCTGGAAGCAGAACTTTCACTGAAGGAATGACTTGCTCCCTTGTGTGCAATCAAATCAAGAATATGAGCTTTGTTTCGTATTCCCTGGGAATGCTAGACCCGTTTTCTTGTGTTCAAGGATCAGTGCGCCCAACTGGTGCCCGGTCTCAACTTAAATCCTCGTCCTATATTTTCCTTCTTGCCCACATGGATATGTTTCAATTACGAAATGAGTCGTCCGATCCCATTCTTCAAATCTGTTGGGGCTCCTATACGTTAACTATAACTCTACTCTGAAGATTTATCCCGAAATCACTGGGCCAGAGTTGGCCTGTGCGACAGCCATATTTTCCGTCAATATGGTTAGAGATGCCAACACACCAGATATCCTTGTCTGCACAAGCCCTAGGGAGCACAGTGCCGAAGCTGAGATATTACTCAACGTCGACCAGATGAGTAAGTGCAATCTTGGGCGAAGTGATTTGTTATGAAACTCCCTGGGTTACAGTGCAAAGCCAACAGAATGGAATACTCGTTCCCGGAAACTTATTTTCTCATGCTGCTGACAGGGAACACGAAATGGTAGCGGAGTTCCGAAATGTCTAGTGATTTGAGTGTGGATATGTGGTCATGCACTGAAAATCTGTGGACGTGAGAGATATCGAGACTTCGAGCTTCCAGAAACACCCTGTGAACAGGCATCATTTTGTACAACCTAGCAAATAATTCAAGCAGAACGACTTCGTATTCAAAACCGACGAGTGCTGGGAGAAACGAAAACAGAGGATGCCCCCAATATCTTAGGTTTTGGTGCAGGGGCCATTACTGATGAAAACTTGGTGCTAGGGCTTAGCTTGCTTCCTCCGTTCTCCGCGGTTTTACTGGTGCAAACTCTCCTTTGAATCTCCGCTAAAGCACAGCGTGACAAATTCAGCGGGACGCAGGCGCCATGATTGCCCCGCGTTATTTAATACTGAACCATGCATATTCACATCAACAGCTTCCACAACCTAGCTTTATTTATTTCGAGCTTCTCGGCGTTTTCACAGAATAGGTTAGGGTTAGAACCTGGTTGTCGGTGTTATGTCGTTCTTAGTCGACCGAAGATGAGTATCGGACACTGATTTGTGAGAGTAATTAATGGTTTTGGGATGGCTGATTCGATTCCGCCTCATTCCCTGCTATGCTCGTGCTGTGATAGGATGGGTGCCTTTGGCTGATCTGGGCATTTATATCCTTCAGGCGAACGCCGAAAGAGGGTAAGGGAGAAAATTTATACAGAAGTCAACTTCGATTCAAAGGAGGTTTCTTCAACTGAGTTTATTAAGGATTGCAGGACTCATACATTGAATTGGGGTTAGCAAATTATCGAAGCCTGATCCCGAGTCCTTCAGCAAAGGTAGAATGTTTAAAAGGGCAGATGTCCAAACTTTTCTCGTTTCCATCGCGTGCAAATACACCAAGAGAAGAGCTGTTTGAAGCTGATCTTTTCGACTCAATTTCATCTACATGTTTTGAAAAGGATCCTATCGGGGCAGACTGGGCCTTACGAAACACAAGGGGACGAATATGCTCACACCGATGCTACTGCCCCGTTTCAAATAAAGAACACTGAGCTGCTGGTGTAGTAAATTTCGACGAATTCATCAACTCTTCTTAGCTATAGTTTAGCTATAATGATTGCTGCATAATGTCTCACCAAGCTGTCCAAGGAGACATTTGAAGACAGAACTCGTGCATTCAAGTTGAGGATCCGGGGTTAGATACACTTTAGGATCTTGGGCTCCTTACTGGACACAAGAGTAAATATTTGTCGTTAACTCTCGACCATATATTCTTAAATACCTAGAATGATGTTTAAGGGCATCGGGCATCAATAACCAGAAACATTCCTTATCACAAGAATCTCTCTGCTGCGATTTCAATCTCAATATCATGAAACTACCAGGACATTGCAAAATTTGATTTACTGGTTTCTAGACAATGTCAATTCTTCAGACTGTCGAAAACCATTTTCGAACCAGTATCCCAGCAAGTCCTGGAGTCTTGTTTGTGGGTGAGCCTGTGAGGGTTGAATGTTTCTGGCATGATTAGTCCAATACCCCGATTGGGTGGGACACGACCGCACGGATTCCATGGTTCTCTGATGAGACGAACGTATGGATGGGAAAAGATCACTGGTTGCAAGGAATAGTTAATGCTCACACCAGCGGCGCAAGGACCATTTTGAGATTCACGTTTCTTTTGCCACTGACGCGAGGAAATTTTGGTTTGGTACCTACTAGAAGTAACCCGGATTACACGCATAGCATCGGCATGCCAAAGAATCCAACAGGTAGCATAGTGGCTCTAAAAGGATATACGTCCTTTAGAACATAAATTCCAATCACCAAATATTTCCATTCCATAGCCTTACGCAGTGACGTTGTTTAACTATCACATGAACAGGCTGTTCGCACACGCCTCATTTCGAACCTTCAACCCTCATGTTAGGAGAATGGATTTGAGAAGTGCCACACAGTAAAATCCTGCATAATGTTACAGATTGGAATATTTGCGTTGGTTTCTCGAAGTCGGATCATCCAGTACATTGTGCTGTAGTTACATCTCCTCAGCCGGTCAAAGACAAAAAATGTTGTAAGCTCCGTTCCTCGGATTTCGCCTTCAACTGTTTAACGTAGCTTTCAACTGGTGTCCTTTATCCCCACTGCGGATAGATGCGGTCCAGCAGTTCCATATTCCGAAGGGTGGGTTTGTTTGTTTATCTGATGTTGTGCTTGAAATCGACTTTAATGGGTTTATGCTGTGCTCTGGAGGAAGTCTATTAATATCGGACCGTGCATTTTCGGGAGAATGGAACGGGAGTATTTGGTTGGCGGTAATTAGTGGATGATATTCATGGGTTGATCAACACTTTCATCGCCAGTTTAACCGCCAATGGCAGGATTTAACACCGTGTGCAAAAGTTATCCATTTAAAGTGAAGTTCTATTGAGCAGGTGAAGGCTATTTCAATCAGTTTCTGTTGGACAAAGATGCGCATTAAGGGCCGCGCAAGAAATATAAAAAAGTGTAGACGGCTCTGAGTAGCTGATATTCAATCCAACATCAAGTAGGAGTGCAAAATCATTTAGTTCTAGACATCCATCAATTCTTCACATATTGCACTTGTACTGTCAAGTGTAGTTGTTCCAATTCTATCTGTCTGCCATTCAGTAAAAATGAAATTGTTGGTCTCTAGAGATTGATGTTGACTCATGCAAGACAGTTTTGAGAGAAGAAATCGGACTCCCTTAGGCGGAGATGATAGAGGAGACACATGAAAAGAGAAGAAATAAAGCAAAAGTATCATCTCTAGATCTGATGAAGGATATAGATAATAGCCCTGTCTCTCCAAAATTTGTATTAGGTCATAGCGCTCTAACACATAGAACTGTTTCCCGAGATCACCATTTCTCATTTGATATGATGATGTGCAAGCATCATGTTCAATTTCCTGCACTTTTAATCTCTGCTTAGGTCAATAGCTGTAGGGATTCCAATATTAACCCTTGCATCAAGGTTACATGATGCTGCTAGGGTTGCCCAAGGACGACAGTGACTTTCCTAACTTCCCCTTCTCTGGCTTCTCACTCTCATGAATCGGACTGAAAAAAGTCACCTGTGAATACCCAAAACTGCGATTTGAAATATTAACGACTTGTATCTCTCCGGAAACATCTGAAGAACCAAGTTACCGATGAAGCCTTTCTGAGAGAAAATGTGTTAGAGGACCAACCATTCAAATCCCTCGTCCTCCAACTAGTTATACATAATTTAACTCTCACCCCTGAAGGGTGAGTTGACAGCAATGTTGATATGGCAAATCAAATGGATATTAATTAATTAATTAATATATTTTGAGAGGATAACTACCTGGCTGTTCATTATATTGTTGGGTATTGTGATCCGGAGACATTATTACTGATATATAACTGTGTAGTTCTTGCTATCTTCCCAACCATATTATCTTTCTATGAGATGTACTAGACCAAAGGCTACAAGACCAGCCTACAAACTCGCCTTGAGAAGATTCGGGACAGATACAAGGATTTAAACCTGTGTACTGCGGAAATTTTTTTTTTGGCAATTAATTAATGGATATAATACAACTATTGCAGCAAACCTCCGACAAAGATGTCTTGGACCTATGGAAGTTGAATAATAACAATGTCTACTTCAACTGAAACTACCCTCGATAGTATCAAAGATGGATGATCCACCTCAATCGCCATTTGGAATTCCTGCAACCGCAATTCCACAAATTCCATGCGAAGTTCACCTAAACCAGAAGGTCGAAGCACACTTCACAGCGAGGCAAAGGTTGACAACACCTCCTCATGGTTTAACAACCTCCACCTTCAGTCGAAAGTTTATTGTCCAATATCCAAGCCGAGGCAATGGTGATCGATAAGACATTGGAGGAATCGGCTTCGACGTGCTGTACAAGTACCTTTCTGTAAAGCTTACCGGAGTTATTGCTGGGTGCCACAGGGGGTGATTTGAGACATAATATTGGGGCTCTATATTTTAAAATGGTGAGAAGTGATAGGATAACATGGCGTGCCAATTGCGGGTGATATTTATTGTGTATATTTCGTTGTTTAATTATATATCTCAACAGATAGCTATGAAAACAATTTATCAGATCTAATTCTATTAAGAAAATATTATAAACAATTTCGCGATTAATATGTTTTGAGAAGGGCCCCATTCGCACAGGGCAGCAAGAATACTTTAAATGCATTATCTTAACACAGTATTTGCCGTCATAACGGTTGAGTTCTCTTGTCACATCGATTAAATTACCCGTGTTGCAGGAACTACTGTTATTCCAGAGCAGTAGTTATTCATTACGATGATAAGCTCTGAGTATGCAAATTATAACGCAGCCAATAATGTGCCTTGCAACAGTTTTTCATGAAACTGGGAAGACTAGAGGTCAAAAGAACTTCAACGATGAATTACGTAAAGATCATCACTTCACCACATTAGTGGGGCCTGGGAGAAGACAATGAAGATACATTATCATTGGCATCACTGATGTTAGTTTTCTTCAGTCTGTATTTCAGACTCATAAAAATATATTAGTAAGGAACGTAGTTATTCAATCTCAATATTTCATATTCATTATTTATCATTCCCTCTTTAACTTTTTATAACTACTTGTATCCCAGGGAGATCCGAATCGTAAGTTCGATCTGGAAACAAACATGGAGAACCATCCAAGATTCCTGGACATGATGAAAACTCTAACTATTATAGCCAATCAATGGCTATTACAAATTAAGGTTAGCGGACCGTCCCGCGCCAAGACACTCCATTGCTCGTGGTACGCCTGACATAAAAGGCTTGGTATTGGACCACAGTGACGACATGTTGAACGATGGAAAGCTCACTAAAGCTTCAGAGGTCATAGTAGATGTTTGCGATTCTTCAATTTCAATCTCTTTGCTTCAATATATGAAGAGGAATTATGACAGGCAGCTGTCAAGATATTTTGTGCAGCAATATTTGAGAGGGGAAAAAGGTGCACATTCATGTAAAATCCAGCCAGTTGTGTTGAAGACATGGTATATTTAAATGATTGTCTGATTTAAGAACAAAATCCCTCGCGGTTAATGTTTCTATAATAAGTAGTATTAGAAGGAGTCAGAGACAGACTACCGATAATACAATAGAAGAGAATATAAAGCCAACGCCGAAGCTAGACAAAGGGAAAGAAAAGAACTAAGGTAACACACGCGGTTTGAGGTAAAAGGGCACATTAAGAAATACAAGCCTCCAGTCACAGTTAACTGAACATACTGTTATAATTAAACTGTATGCAAATCAACACTCATTTCTTCTTAGCCATGTTTCTTCATATGTTTGCATGGGGCCGTTCACACAAACAATGGTAGGTGAGGTATATCCCCTTTGCAATACGTATAAAAGACCTGTAAGTCCTCCACCTTGACTTGGACATATTCAGCCCGTATGCCTCCCGGAGCCGTGGTGGCAGCCATTCTGCTGTCAACAAACGCACTATGGGCATATTGACCTTGATCCAAAGCGGTGCCCGCTTTGGCCACAAACAAGATTTTCGCAGCAGGAGCCGCGTGGTAGGTAATTTCAATTGTATCAATCATCTCGTACCAGTACTTCCGGAAAGCACAGCGGTCCGCAGGCCACTTGCCAGGAAGAACATGCAGCGCAGTAGCGAAGACTGGATATTCCTGAGAAAGCTTTTCAGCGGTTCTGTCGTCAAGAGGGCCGAAGATTTTCTCGTAGGTGCCGACTTCCGTGACATACAAAGTCGCAGCTACCCATATTTGGAGCTCTGGGTTGTTGGGTTGTTGGCACTGTAGTTGGCCCCATTCTCAGAAGCTTGTTTCCGGTGGACGACTACCGAAGGCAATGGTGTAGATGCAGGTCATGGTAGCCCGTAGCCTATCACTTACCTCATAGGTTGAAGTTGCTGTGCTCGCTAATTCCTTGGCCGATACCCGGGTGAAGCAATCGCAACAGCTCCCCCCAGCCAGTATGATGCCTTCCTGAACAAATCTTTCTTTTGAATTTCCTTGGGCTCATATTCCGGGTTGAAATACTGCGATGTCATGGTAGCTGGCTTGGTGGTTTCGCTGGGCTGTTTTCCGCTAGCAGGTTGTCGCTTCACGCCATTTGCCTGAACAACCACCTGCTGTACAGTGGCCTGGCTCTCCAAGACATACTTTGGCCTCGTCTTCACGGTGAAGTTGTTTAAATGTAAGGAGAATCGAAAGAAGAAACCAGCCCAGAATTTGAAAAATTGAAAAACATGAAGGCAGCCGCGCCATCCGAAGATGATTTGATCTATGTGGTGCATTTTTGAGAGACATTTTAATTTGGCGGGATCGCTAAATTTACTAAATATGCAGACAACTCGCGGTCTCCAGGTTTGGGGGGGGGTCCTTGAGATCAGATGGGGTGTGATCCGTTGAGCAGGTCGTTTGTATTGGGTTGTGGCTTAAAAAAGCCCTTTGGGACAAACTGAGCCTCTTAGTAAAAATTTCCGAACAAATCAGCTATAGCATGGTGTGAGCAAGCTATGTGATATGAAGCATCGCCTCTAAGATATTTAGTAGTAGTGTGTGCGTGATGGTTATAGTCATTGTTTCCCGCTAAGTCGATTGTTTGACAGTTTAGATGGATGTGCCTCCATCTTGGGCAACACAATAACTTCTGAAGTACAGGAATACACGGAAGACAGAAATCATTCAGACAGATCATATTTTGGAGGAGATAGGGGTAAAACCCTTCAAAGAGTTCCTCCTTCGAACAGGCAAGCTATGTGTAGAGTTTGCCATAGCACCAACTAATTCTGAGCCACATTAGTATATGAGTCTTATTCAAGGTTTCCGTAGGATCTCACAGAACATTACCTGGTAAGACGATATAGTTCTCACGATAGGGATGATTAGAGAGAGAATAAATCCAATCATACTCTTTGAAGGGCTGGGAGATTGATGGCCTGTGTAAATATAAAAATGTTCCAAACATTTGTAGATTTCTTCATTTTCTAACTACTTCCCATGAGAAGTTATTTACACCACTGCTGATATCAGCCACCATATGTTAATGATTTCCTATCCCCCCATCGAGGACAAAAGCCAGCCATTTCTCAACCAAGTATCGAAATAACACTGTAATTGTTTGCATCCTCCAAAATAATTTCAAATCTTAAATCCGCATGTGTGTAATTGATGCGATAACAACTGAACATCTTGTTAATAGAATGGTCGACAAAGTTTCTAGCCTCTGATCACTAGTTAAGCAACACTTCCATAACTAACGAGAGCCAATCTACCCGGTATCAGGTGAATGCATGTTCGCAGTTGAGAAAGGTCTCAGCTCAGGCGTTGGCCGTCATTTTGGGCCGTTAAATATCAAGTTACTTCCACTAGAGTGCTTCATCGAGACCTAGTTGCTTTCCGGAACCTTGGATTCAAGGAACTGGTACAGACGTGTGGTTTCGAATAAAGGATATTGCTTCAGCTTCGTCTAAATCCTGGACTAGGCCCTAAATTGTAAAGAGTAGAGTCGCTCGTGATTAGAATCGTCACCAGTGTTGTCTTCTTTAAGGACGTCTTGTTGGTGAAGCTGTCAATGCTCACATATTGTCAATGAACAGACCTTAACCTTAAACACTGTCAAATCATTCCCCGTCGCTAAGCAAAGTCAGTAAGGAGTTTTACCTGTGAGCTATTGGAATGCCTTCGTGTGTCAATGCATTGCATTACAACGTCCTACAACGTCTCTGCAAAGAAAGCATATACACAATCTGACGCAGACCGGCTGGAGTTCCTTCATGTAAAAGAGGCAGACTGGGAACAATGTTGGCCTTCACTCAGTTCTCACGAAGGGATCGAGGAGATCGAGGAAGCTAGGATTAGGTAAGGCTTTAAATATCCATACAGTTGAAGATAGGAAAAGGAGAACCACGTGTTGTGGGAGAGTTACAGTTGATTGTGGTTTTATAAAAGTTGAACTTAAAGTTGGGCCACTCAGTTCCAGGATGAACATCCTGGTTGAGGAAAAATGTTCAATTTACTTTTGTCGCTCACCTGTAACTAACTTGACTAGTTAACTAGTGGACCATCCGGAGAGCAACCGATTTTCGTGTGCCCAACCTCTCAACGCGAACTGGCCTGCAGGAGTTTTAATCCAGGGGCATCGATTGGTTGAAATGACTCCCAACATCCTGTATCTCCGTACCTTTCAACGGAACCCTCCAGGAACCTCTGCAAGTAAAGAAACCCATGTTGAACCATGAACAGTGCTTGTCAGCAACCTTAAAAGTATGGATTGCCCCATATTTTCTTTCAGGGCCTGCCCCTTCATTTATTTTATTTATTTATTATTTATTTTATATTTTTATATTCTTTTTACAAGTATCTTTGATCAGCGACACCCGTCTTTCACTTGATCAAGATCTGCTGTGCAAGCCGTGCTGGCCTTGTCTCCATATTTCCATAGCCCCCTCCTTAATCCCATTGAATTCGTTTACTGCTAGGTGGATGTCCATTGACAACATTTATTCCCCTCAAGTTTCATGACGTATAATATATCGTTTAGGTACCACATTACGCAGATCTAGTCTTAGTGCGCAAAGCGATATGAGGTTTCATTTGGAGTCGACCCAGATGAACTATTACCTGGCGTCCTCAAGGGCACCAAAATTTCTTAACGGCGGGGTTTCGCCTCTGCGTTTAGGTAGCTTCGGACTGCCTAGAATCACCAGCATGACCAAAATATTGAACTGAGCGGGTCTAACAAGTCACTAATTTCTCTAGTTGGCTAGAAAAAGTCTATCTCAGAGGTTTTCAACGGTCATCTTGTCATCCACTTTTGCCCCTCCATTTCAACAAATACACCCATCCACCAGAGTCATGCATCATACCAATCCCCAAAATGCATTGCCATGCAAAGGCGGATATATGACCAGATGGCGGGGCTTGCTGCGATAGCGTTGGCAAATACAAAGCGCTTCGAGGAGAGGAGAGCAATCAAAGTGCCAGTGGAAATTTTGTCAAGATTACTTGACAAAGGATCCATGGACAATTAACTAGTTAGTTAGTCGACCAGAACAGTGGAACTAAAAGTCCAGCAAGGGTTTCATTCTGTAGCAGATACAACATGCCTCTGTTAACCCTGAAATAAATACAGCCGCCCAAGCCGGCAAAATTCAAATTCCCACGATGTTTCGACTACCTAGTGTTGGAGCAGGGCAACCTGGTCAGTACCTAACATGGATGACATGGTCCAGAGTCTGCTTCCGGGTTGTTGGGATGAATTGTTTTATTTTTATAAAAAAAAAGGTTATATAACTAGTTAGTTATCTAACTAGACTCAAAGTTTCTGGTTTAAAAGTTGCTCCATATTTGACTTCTTTGGTGGACTGCATCCCAACGTCAATTTTGACCTCACTTTATACATAATTCCCGTCCCGCTCCCTCCTACAACTGTTCTTCTTCTCCTGTTCTCCAGGTTCACCTAATACCCCACAAGACTCGACAGTCTCATTACCCCGTCTTTTGTGATTTCTCTCAAACCCCCCCCAAACCATTCCCCATTCTGCGATGATCTGATGGGCCCTTCAGTGACGTAACTCTTCTCTGGTCAACATTTTGCTTCTCCTGCATTGTAATAATCGCATTGGGCCTTACGGAGCCTCAGGAACATCCATTATCTTTTTTTATGGTATGTCAATTAATGTTCTTCCCCCCTATCTCGCCGCTTCATATCTGCTTCATAGGGACAACCTGTTTATGACATCACCTCTAATTTCATATTCTTGCAATGAAAACCATTTGTTATTCCATTCCTTACTCTATCCTGCACCCTATTGTTAACCGGAAACCGGCCTCCTAGATCCTGTGCTTCTATGATAGATAAAGAAGCTTGTTACAATCCCTCTTTCAAACACTCCGGCAACTCTCTCCATTGCTTCAAACTCAGGTACTTATACACACTGGTAGGCATATGAATATATATGTGCATTCACATGAAATATGTATATATGCTTGTTTGACTGAATTGTGTGTATAGCGAACTGACATCCATGATGAGCCCCAGAGGGGCTGATACTTGGGGGTTATAATCCTCATCACCAAAAGTAAACTCCGAAACATCCTCCGGGATGCTTACCTCTCTCCAATGCAAATATGCGAGGTGCCCAAATGACTGAATGGGGGGAATATAAGAAACACTCCAAATATTGGTGCAGGAAAGGAATTGGCAGTAGCATGCCTGAATCACCCGAAGAAAGTTGAGTGGAAAATCAAGGAACTTCAAAAGAAGAGAACAAAAGATAGTACAAGATCCGACGATTGCCTCGTCTGACAAGTTCAATATCCCCGATGTAACCTTCAGAGTCAATCCTTAATCATCTTTTACGCCGTTAATCCCGACCAATATAGAGGATTAACTCTTTCAAACGTCTAATCGTGTCCATTCAGAAGCGAAGCGGAAAACTGCAAATTTGGATAATTTGCCCCCGTTGAAAATTTATATAACGACCGGCGTCCGGGAGCGGTACACTAGAATCACGGATAGTGGAGGAACTGAGGAAATATGCTGATGTTGTTGTTGTTGTTGTTGTGAGAAATTGTAGGAGTGGTGGTTGTCGGGAACGGCTTTGTCACCCCGCGATCGAGAAAGGCCAAAAATATACCGTGCCATACTGCGAATTTTCCCAGACAGCCTCATCTGCGCGGCGCTTCTCGTTGGACGTTCTCCAGGGGATATCGGCTCGAGTCACTATTTCGAATCTAATTTGAAGGCGCCCAGGAGAACTGAGATTCTACTCCTCCGGTGCCACCATTTAGACCATGGTAGAATCCAACACCACTGACATGAGGATACACGATACTGCCATCCTCTTGCGGACATGGCCTTGGCATACCGATGTGTCGCTCTCCTACTTGTGTAAAGCAGTTCGCCGTGCCAACGCTGAGATATGTCAGATTGCCATCGGAGCTGTCCGCAATACGTTCAGCCTCCGGACTAAACCCCGCAGTCGAGTAAGAGTGGATGAATTCCTCGGGTGGGCCCTGCATTGGCCACACATTGTCACTACAATAGTAAACGGAATATGTAGCATGGTGTTGGCCAAAGGATGGCTCAATTTTCACACAGTCCGGTTCTAAGGGAGATGCTAAGGCGCTCATGCTTGACGGGGAAAGTTCAAGGGAACTGACAGGCTCTAGGGACAACCCATTCGTTTCGACGGAGTCTGATGACATGGGACTCTTTTCCCAACACGGCGAAAGGGAAGGACTATTTCCCTCTAACGTCTCCGGTGACTCCTCAGCTTGTTTGATCAACCCTAATCTATCCAGAATGGCATGGGTGCAAGGATTACCATCCACAACATCGATTGGGTCTCCTGGAAAGCACTCATTATTTACGCAGTGGGTGTACAGCTGCTGCAGGGCCTTCACTACCAAGGCATGGTGCGACTCGAGCATCTGGACAAAGCTATAGTAGCCATAACAAGAAAAAAGAAAGCAGACATGTCAATGCTCCGTCGAAGAGAAAGCGAACGGAGAAGTAGGAATGCAAGCCCTCACCCTCTTGAATACGCCTTCATTTGCGTCGCCTTTCTCTCACGAAAGAGACATGGATGATTATATGCCGCACAACGATAACATGGTTGGTTCCCGTCGCACTGGAGAAATTATTATGAGCCCCATGTCACTGACAAATGGATCGTGACGCGCTATGACTGGACCTTTGTTTTCTTTACCCTGCAACGGTCGCAGGCCTTAAGGACATGTTTCCGTTTGGCTCTAAAGATCTGATGCGGCGTCCCACCTTCAGGTATATTTCTCTGTGGACCGAAATTTGAAAAAGATGCTGTCGCATTGGGAGCGGAGTGAGTCTCCGGGGGGTTGATAGATGCATGGAGTTTTGGAAAGATGGTTGGTGGCATCTGGGCGTACTGGTTAGAGGAATAAGGTGCAAGTACAAGAGTGAATAAGGATAGGAGTGAGGAAACTGAAGATGTGCCAGCGAAACCTCACAGAAAAGGTAGGTTTACAATGAGAAGAGGGGAACATAAGATATAGAAAAAGTGGCAACGATTATTCGGAGAGGCATGGTCAAGTTTGTTGTCATCATCCAACCCGCCTTTTCTTTCCCACACCACTTTTTCTCGAACTTATTCGGTAACTACCTACATGGTTGTGACGTGGAAACAGCTCCAGTCATGGTGTTGTCGAAATATTTGAAGGTAGGATTTACCCCTTCCACATTTTATTTTTTCACCCCCACCAGACTGCCCTTCTCATTCGAAACAGCATGGGGATGGTTGAATTAGTACGGCTTTGATTCGTGACCAGGGCTCTAGTCTAATGCCACGGGGCTTTCAATGTCAGCATGACTTATTCCTAGGTATCATTGCGTGGGGGAGGGAAGCCATCGTATCAAAAATCGGCCCGACCCGACTCCAAACAGAAGCGGGGCAGCGAAGCTAGAATGAGAAATGGAAGTTAGTGAACAGAGACTGGCTCGATAGAGTACTGGGGTCGGCCTTTTGGGCATCAAATGTCGAGGATTAAGAGCAGCTCATGGTGTATTTCACACCTGGTTGCTTTCCAACAAGCCGGTGGCTCCCATAGCATGATAGTTGGAGGTAGTTACCTTGCTGCATTAAGTAATCCGATTATCGACGGTCAAGCGGATGAGGAGTGAGGGGCATCAAGACCTCAATTGATAAACGCAGCGATTTTTGAGGCGAATCCCACGGATGGTGATGATGGGAGGGCAAATCTCTTCCGAAGCAGGCTGATATTCGACCCTTGCCAAATGATGGGCCTAATTTGAATACCCGAAAATTGCCCTTGGCTGATCGCGAAGTTTGGTCCACTAGCCCTAAGCTTCAAATGCTGCAGGTTTGCTCAGTCCGCCCTGTTCCTCCTCTATCTGACGTTGTGTTCTGATGTAGCCTGATAAATCTGATCATCTGCATGCTTTCACTGGTATTCGGTTAAGTTATCGTCCCTCGCAACCACTTTTTAGTGGTCAGAGAGACGACCCCCAAACCAGGGGGGGCCTTTGGCGGTTCAAACGCTGGCCTGCATATCATAAAATATTCAGATATCGAACGAGAGCCTAGTTAGTTGCCAGCACCCGCCTCCCTTTACCGAACAACCCTCAAAACTTTGGGGCACGAGATATCCTTTTGTTCTGGATTAGGGAAGTTGTATAACTAAATCATAACCCATTTGGGGTGTTCTATTTTCTTGATTCCGTTCGCGATAGTCGATTATTCCTATTGTTATCCCCTTCTACAGCAGAAACAATCTCAATTTTGGAAGGCCATCTCCTGGTATCATGACATCATCGCTCACTTTCACGGCTATTCCCCGACAATATCGAAGCGCGATGACGACAGTGACGGCGAGAAATCGATGGCGGTAAGCATGGAGGCAGCAAACGTGCAGTGCATCTCTGGGATGTGGTTGGGGCCAAAACACTGTCCTTGACATACTAAATCTCAGAATGTGATTGAACAGCTGAATGCAAATCAACCTGCATGATGCTGTACGTATTTGCATGCGCGCCTTGGGTATTGCTACAGCGGCAGATGTATTATTACCCTTCCCGGGCCACGGGCCACGGCGCAGATGATCGGTGCAAACGTCCAAGAACAGCAAGGGTAGAGCCGCCCTGTTTCTTCCCTCAAATTTGGTTTCTTAAACGGGATTTCCATTCAGGCTAACATCGAAACATCCTCTTTTAGTTCTCATACCAGCTGGCTGCATAAGCTGTAATCGCTGAGATTGCTCTGTGCTGGGATCGCCAGAAAATAGCCCTGGACTAAGCCAGAAGGAGAGGACTTATTAGTTAAACTAAGTTCGCCAGCACAGCCTCGAGAGATTATTTTTCCGTGCCCCTCCGTGGCGTTTCATTCACACAGCGAAGTTCTTTTTCCAAGCACGCTTGGCGTGCATATCCATCCCTGCCAGATGTCGATGCTTAGAACCCTCTCAATGCACCTTAATTTATTTCGTTTTATCCCTCTTCCCCCTCATTTCGCCCCTGTTGGCGGCCAATCTGTGAATGTGCGCGAGAAGAAATAGACGAGCTAACCTGACAACAGTACGACGGGGCAGCACCATACCATATAGCATGCCATCTACTAAGGAATCCATTAAATACCAATGCCCATGTGAAACTGAAGATGCTCTTCTTCCAGAGAATTGTGTGGGAGAAAGAAAGCGCTGGTGTATTATTCTAGCTGTCTTGCCGTACACCTTCATGTATATGTATATCACATATATCTCAGGAGAAAACAGCACAGGAAATTAGCTGGTAAAACTAGTTATCTCGAGTTTAGAAAATACGTAACTTGGGAGTCCTCCCATTAGTTACGAATCGCAGTAGAGAGAGATGACCCCCCTTTCAGTGATATCGGGGTTTCGGAGACAGAATCCTTGAGGAGGGCAAGGCTTCACGGCTCAGCAACCGAAGTGGTAGTTAGTTATCCAGGGATGTCCCAAAAATTACTTCAGGCACATCACCCCGTGGGCCGGATACTCGACCTATGGATTCCATTGGACTAACTGCCAGCGGACAAGGACTTTCAATGGTTGAACGGGCGTAATTATCTCCTTATAGTTTTCTACTTTCGGTAGGTCCCCTACGGAAGCCGGCAAGACAACCCTGCAGAATCTCCGCTGTCTCGTTGCTTCGGATCATTTTCATGTTGTGATATGCTTTTTGATGTCTCCCTGTGCATGTGTCGAAACATCGTGTATCACTCCGGTGTGGATACCTGCTTCATGCAGCACATTCAGACTTCCATATCTGCATCATGCATTGGAACAAGAAACTGTAAAATAGGGATCAAGAACAGCAAAAACGAGCAGGAGAGGAAAGGATACAGTGGGCTAACAAAAACACAATGTCACAAGATACAAGGATCGGCTAATGACGAGACTCGAGACGCATGTTCGAATGTAAGGCCAAGCCAATAAAAGACTTCAGAAGAGCTCATGATTTACCAGAGTGCCGACCGTCGGCTGTTCAACCCTCTACTTGATTCGTGATGCTGCAAGGCTAACCTTGACACTTGTCAACACACGCAGGACAATGTGCGTGAATAAAATATCCATATGAAAGTTTGTTCTTCTTCTCCATGTTTATCATATCATTGTCTTGTATGCGCTGTTTTAGTTTAGTCAACCCTCGTGCGGGAAAGGGGTAGATGGGCATGACGCCTTGGACACCGTGCGAGGCGCGGGACAACGGTATCAGGGAGAGCGCGCGGGGAAACATGGGAGAAAAGAGGCCCGAGTCCTCAAGATCACGGCTACATACAGCCGTTGACACGCGTATCTGTGCCTTTCGCAGCCTATATCATGTCGATCTGTCGAATTTCGGAGATATCCCGTACATGCAAAGATGAGGTGCGAGATGTGAAAACCGTGCCTCAAGGGTAAGTGGGGGCTTATCGTGTGCAAAAATATGGAGGAGGGAACATCATGAGACAATCGACCGGGGAAATGAAAAGCGATCATGATTTGTTGTGGAAGATAGTTATGCTGGAAGCAGGTTGGTTGGTTGAATCCTTGAAGCTGTCTACACGACTACGCGAGCATGACTAAGCAAAGGCAGAGGGAATCCGACAAGTCAAAAGAATAGAGTGACAACTTGCATCTCTCTGCGCGTGAAAGTACGTACGTACGTCATGGCATATGTTTTCCCGCTCTCCGGCATAAGATGCTCCCGAATTGAAACCCCCGGATACCAGACCAGCAGAGGGACTAAATTAACGAAGTAACTACACCGTTGCAGAACCTAAATAAGTTTTGGCAAATAGAATGTAACTATATGTATATTCGATTCGAGAAGATCAATACAGCTTAGCAACCACCTGTTGGCGCTGTCCACGTCAACCTCTCCCTCCAAGAGCAGGATTCGTATCTATCTATCTGGGAGAGAGGCGAAGAGAGGGAGGGGTTAGATATTGGGTGAACCGGGGCTGATAAATTAAAGCTGGCAGTGAGGCGGGGTGGGGGAAGAATGGTTGTCATCTTCCGACGACCTCTGCATACGTCTCTTTCGATTGTAAGACGAGACGATATTCTCTCTTTTTATCTCTTTCTGCACTTGCTTCTGTAGCGCCAGGACGACTGGATAGACGTTGAGTAAAGTTGAGCAAAGCAGAGTAAATTATGAGTTAAAAATTAAATGGATAACTGAAACCTTGAACATATATATATACGCATAGACAGTAGCTCTCCACACAGGACACCATTCAATCTGGCCAGCTAATGATTAGCTTACCCAGAAATTGGAGTTCACTATCTCTGTTCCAGCATGAGGCTGGCTTCTCCATGGGCAAGGTGATCAAAGCTCTCCTCGCTGGCAGCTGTTGTCGGGGGGCTTGGCGGCCCAAAGTGGTCGTTATCATTCTTATTCCCATCCTGAGCCTCTCGCTGGCCGCTGCCAGACCATTTCTCCGCTGCAGAACCAGAAGAAGTAGAATCATTCATCCATCTCTGATCACCAAAATATTCAATCCCATCCCCAACACCCCGTAAATTCGAAGGTTTCTGCCTTGACCGTTCCCGCTCTGAGAGCGGGAAGCAGTCCCCTCCGTCATCAGTGGATGAATAAGACGAAGCGGGAAATAAGTTTCTCCGATGCCATTCTCCAAGGAACATGCCATCTAAATCCGCTGCGTTGCGCACCCTCAGCCACTCTTCTAGGTCATTACCGTACATAGCTCGTATCTCATTGTATCCGGTGCTGGAGCTGAAATTCTTGGCCCAGTGCGGACGTCCACCTAGATCGCGCATCAGCCATTCAAACGCCTCATAGTATCTAGCCACACAGGGAGGGTCGCGCAGGTGTGGGCGGTACAGTGTGGCATTGAGAAAGAGAGTTGGTCCAGAAGCATGTGATGCATCCAGATAAGGGCGCGGAGTGTTGGATTTGGAAGTATCCGAGACACGGACTTCGATAGGAGAATGCACCCAGACACCTTTAGAGCTGAAGGGGATGCGGGCTACGGCTGCATCGCCGTTTATCCAAGCGGAGAGCCGGGTGATGGCCTCCGGGCCTTTCTCCAGTGGAAGGGCCCATTCGTTGACGAATTGTGAATAGAGGCAATCCATGAGCAGTCCTGTCCGGCCTGGTTCGACAGCTGAAGTAATTAGTTTTCCTGGGCGGAAGCCGTACTGCATCCCGAAGACGAACCATTCGACCCAGGGAAGGATACACGGGATGTAATTAGATATATATAATAAATTATGGTAAATGAGGTTTCCAACACGTCCACCGTAAAAATTTGAAGGGGGTGCGCGGAGTGGCAAATCGGTCTTATCCGCGCGCCAGACGACAGCTCGTTTCCAGTATGGCAGCCACCAAACGCGCACGTACTCCGATGACGTCCAGAGGCCTGTGTCCCACCCCTCTAGTACTTGAGGCAGCGACTGCATGGACTGCTGCCATGCGATCTTGAAGCTCGGCACGGCTTGCAGCGTAATCTCGGTGATGATGCCGATGGCGCCTAGCGAGAGGAGGGCGGCACGGAAGAGCTCTACATTGTTCTCAGCGCTGCAGCGCACTACCTGCCCATTGGCCAGTAGAATGCTAAGAGCCAGTACAGATTGCGACAGCAGTCCATATCTCAATGAGCTGCCATGGGAACCAGTCGATATCAAGCCAGCAATGCTCTGCTCGTTAATGCTGCCTAGATTTGACAACGCCAAGCCATATTTGTCCAATTCAACGCAAAGATCGCGTAGCCGTATTCCCGCCTCTACAGTTACGACGCCCGTGTCGCGCGAGAACGAGAGGATGCGGCGGAAGTTATCAAGGTTGACGAGCCATGCAGAGGTGCACGTGAGGTCAGAGGGAGAGTGGGCACTACCGACGGTCACGAGGCGGCGGCGGCAACGGCGGGCAAGAGTGACGATTTTTTGAAGCTCAGGGACTGTTTCAGGTTGGATGTAGAGTTCCGGGTGCCAGTAAAAGGTTTTAGCCCAGGTATGGTGGAGATGAGATAGTGAGGCACGGAAGGGAATGGCGGGGTCAAGCCTGGAGAGTTCGCGGGTGATGTGGGGGTCCATGTTGGGCGTATCCCGTAGAAACAACTCTAGCAAATGATTGGAAAGTCTTGAAGTGGTACGGATTCCAACGGCAAGCGATTTGATTCGTATTGGTAGCTGGGTTTCCTTTGATGGATGGAGTGATGTGATTCAGTTGATAGGCGATGGATCATCTCGGCTTCACGGCATAGTGAGGGGCGACAGGATCGAGGCAGTAGTTAATGTGGGGGGGCAGAGGTTCATGATCGCTAACAGATGCAACACAGGTGCTGAGCCTTGTGGGACGTTTACCTAGTGGATTACTCGCGGGCTCATGATGCGCGGTCGGTGTGCTCAAACGGTACGGTTGAAGAGGGTCGACTTGGGCATGTTTGAAGGTTCGAAAGCGAAAAATCGCCGAGATGAACTTGTCAACAACCGTCTGATGCCGAGTCGGGGTTTAATTTGTGAGGGGGATAACGTGACTGACCAGCATTGAATGTGTTGGAGCCTAGGATTCCTATTATGGACTAGCGTACCGCACAATAGTACAATAATCGTGCCTCCGCGCACCCACACCTGATGTGGGTGCGCCACAGCGTAATGATAAAAACAGCATAACAATAAAAATATGGATAATTAGAACTTCAAAAATTAATATCTCATCACCACACTGCTAATCTATGATAATTAATTTATCTATATCATCTGTAGTAGCTGTATTATTCATGAGATGTTCATATATATCATTAACCTCTTGTTGAGTTAGATCTGTGGTATTTTTCTTCAAAGCTCTCTCAACATGTTTAACTCTCTTATAATATTCTTTTTCTACTTCCTCCTCTTTATGTTGCACAATCTTTCTATTTGCATCTCTGACAGTGAGTATACCTTCTACTTGAACCTGCTGATGTGTATTTTTAGTGCTGTGGTGTTTGATTGCAAGGTAGTAATTCTCAATCTCACTCTCTCTTATAGCATTGAGTTCTATCTGAACAAGACTGCTTTGAAAAATCTTGTTCAATCAATTACTCAGATGAGGTTATTTGAAATCAAGTATATTCTTCATATCTTGCATTGTCTTCTTTGCCACTCAAATATGACATTGTAGCTTCTCAATTGTCTTGAGTGAGAATAGCTATGATGAAGCAGTATCTGAACAGCTTGATTGCAGCAAAAAAAATCTTCTTCATATATTTGCAACTCAGAGTAGTCAGAGATCTTTGAATCTAGCTTAAGCAGTATAGATTGTGAGTTGAATGAAACAACATCATAATCTGCAAAGCTAGTCTGAATAGTAGAAGATTGAAAAGTCTTTTTGCAAATATCAACTAGATTCTATAGAAATTGATATTTTTCATACTACTCATATCTGTATTATACAGCTTGATTAACTGTCTTTGAATAATAGTACTTTTACTGCTGAAAAGGCATACCATCTAGAGATTGCAGTATATGAGTTGAATGTGAAGAAAATTCATATAGAATAATCTTATGAAAATCACAGTATTGTAAAAATTCTTCAGTGAGATGAGATTCATAATTGTTAAAAAATAGTTATTGATAACTGCCTTGCTGACATTTTTTAGAGATCTTATTAAAGTGCTGAATTCATGCAAAATCAATCTCATCATTAATGTAGTCAGTATCTGATGTCATGGTTATATATCTGTCTAATAGATTACTTTGTATATATCAATCTTCAAATTGAGTTTTGAATTTCATGATGATGAACAGATTCAATACCTCATCATTTGCTGAAACACACTCAATTACAGTGATCAATTCTCAAGAATATGATGAAGTTATAACTGAATTAAAGTCTTTAAAAGCAGTAATAACCTATTCTTCACATTCTTGACCCTCTTGAAAGCTAATCTCATTGAAGTTGTAGATATCACAGATTTAAAATGCATACTTTTGAAGTAAGATTTTCAAATAGTCAAATCATATCTTAATATAGCTAATATTCTCAACAGCAATTCTTTTCAGATTTATTGTCTTCTGTTTAACTCTTTTATACTCATTCAAGCTTTGTATATATCAATAGATCCACATCTTGCTGACCATGGGTGAGGAGGTTGAAGGATCAGTATGATGGTGTTTGAGAATGAGATTCACATTATCTTGAATCTGCTCTGCAGTCAGTGAGCAATTATTTCTGTCCATATGAGCTATCCACTCTTTTAATATGTCCTCCTGACTCTTGCTAAGCTTCTTGTTCAGTGCAGTCTTTGCATTGCATGTTTTTCTTCCATTGATTCTTGCTTGAAGACATTGATAAGGAACATTGAATTTGCATACCAGATAATGCGTACGAGCAATCGAATAGGTAGGATAAATCATGTCTGATTCTCTTCTAATAAGATGGGCGGATGCCCTGCTATATATACACACTATAATCACTCTATATGGTAGGAGCGATTGCATAGGATAGGAAATATAGGAAAGATTGGGGCCCCTGAGTGGATTAGGGAGGGGCGAATAGAGAGCGGATACTAATATACGGAGGGGCGGAAGAATAGGGGCGGAACGCCACACCAGAGGTAGGATTTTCTGTTTTTGATTGCCATTATAGACTTCAATGGCACTCTGAATATGTTTTTCAAGATCATCTATCTTATTGGTCATGGTGGTGGTGATATATTAATATTTGAAGATTGATTAATGAAGAAGTTGATATTTTTATTGTTACGCTGTTTTTATCATTACGCTGTGGCGCACGATTAGTATATAGCATCCCTTGAGATGGGCTACCAATACAACCACTTCAGAACGTCCAACAGAATGAACTGATTTTGTATCACGAGACCTAGTACGATCACGAGACTTACGAGATGGGCATCAATATCTCCTATGTCTTAGAAACTACCTCTCTATGGTGCTGCCACTACCTAATGATGACAAGGTGACAGCCTCACCTTTGTATGAGATACTAATCTTGCCCTGTGTGGAATGACGAGGTGACTATCATATGGATGACTGGATGATCATCTCTATGATCATCTCTATGAAAGACATTGATTGTCCTTCCTTGATCAGATAGATTGATATCCAAGTGTATCCATGGAGGAGAGAAGACTGCTGAAAACTCTATAGAGCTAACTATCTGACCCACCGTTTAGAGGGTCAGCGATTCGTTCTTAAAATATCAGACTCATTGAAGACGCATACAATCCTCTATCTATCCATCAGTATTCTTGATCATTCAGATTCTCTTTCAGTCTTAAGATATAAGCTCATCTGCTCTCTTAGCTAGTTAAGCCTGCCTACCCACTCAGCGTTCCCATCAAACAATCCACGCAACGGCACTCACTGTTGACTCCCCGTCTCGACGTCGTCTTGTTATATTTGCTAGCATCACAAGAACAAGCTGAAAAGCATCTATTTGCGCACAATTGATCAAAAACAATGAATTGCATACAATTCGGTCATGGCTCAAACTAGAGTCAAGATAAAAGCTTCAATTCATCTATCTAACTAGGCAGCTGCGATGAGAAATACTACACTGGGGATTAGAATGCGGAATGAACGAGCAGCTGAATATATATATGTATAGGTTGGTTAGGGATCGGAGCGGATCAACCGTTCGGAGTGGAGTAGATCAACCTTAATCCATATTACAAGCAGCTGCACATGTTCAACAACAACAACAACAACAGTCATGAGGCTGTCAGGATCGAATCGAATTACGTGCAAATGTAACAGGATTAACGTGTGATTTGCGTTAGTTGCTTAGTCATTCCAGCACATTCTCTTAAAGATAAATATACAGCCAACTTTCCTTGCAGTTAGATAGTGAGATAGATGCAGAGGATATTCAGATCAACCTAGTAAGCTATTTGAGATATCCCAACCGAGGCTGAGTTAGAGAGTTGAAAAAACTGCAAAGACTGCGCAGAAGGAAGAACTTCAGCTGCAGTGAACTATTCAGCAAGATTAAAAGACTATTGAGGATGCTAAGTGCAAAGCAGCTTACAAAGCAGTCTGAAAGACTGCTTAGAAGACTGTGCAGAGATTAAAAAGCATGAAGCAGCTAAATCTAGAAAGTGAAAGATCACTAAGAAGACACTGAAGCAGGCTCTCAAACATCAGTGCGAAGCAAATACAGTCAAATCCAAATCTGCAAGGCCTAGGCAGACTGTCTCATTAGAAAAATCCAGTGAATTCAGTGCCAGAATCAACTATCTATCCAGCACTTCTTTACCTCTCTTTCTTATGAAAAGCAAAGTCAGCTGTTCCAGCTGTGCTATTAAGCCAAACACTCATTTATTTTGTTATCCATACTAATTTATATGTAATATATAATACACCCATTTAATATTTAATAGCTAGTAGTAATTCAGTTCATGGTTGTTTCAAATTCGCGATTCAGCAGAGTCGTAGGGTAGTAGGTAGCGAAATCGATGGGTGGCGGAAATCGTCGGGTGTTGGTCAGTCACATTACGTGGGGCATCAAAAATTCCAAATGCAACCGGGAAAAAGGAGAGAATAATTGGAGGATAGATGATCAATGAAGATTCATGCAGGAAAGTGATACTTCATATTTTCCAATTTACAACTGTGCAATTTTACTGTTTAGCAGGTTCATCTGGTTAAGAGTTAAATGTATGCACGCCAATATGCAATCTTGCATTTTCCATCTCACCGCCTTAAGAGACCCCCAAGATACCCTCCTGTCACCACAAAAGGGGCTTGGTAAATGCAATCGATACTTGAAATAAGCGACATACACCTGTTTATTGCATGTCAAGTTAGTTATCCTTTAATCCTTACACCAGAAATCAAGCCCTCCTGGAATATCAATAGCCCCGCCTCGTACCTCAAGAACACCACGCCTTCTCTGCTACTGCGAGTCTTCGTTCTTCACACATGCCTGAAAGAAGAGAAACAAGACAAAAATTGAAACCCCGGTTTTCCGTTTCCCTCGCGTAATGCATAGCAACGAATAGCCAACCAATAATAGCATCGAGTAAAACAAGGGGGAGAGAATGGGAATAAAAGAAAAAGAGACAGCAAGAGGAAATGACGAAAAATGAACC